TTTTTTTAATGGTAAAGTTACTTTATTCTAAAATCTTATACACTTTTACACTTCAACTTTCAATATAATAATTCCAATATAACACTGTTCCAAATAAATTTCCAATATCAATCAATAGCTCAATTTTATAGCTCTATCCTTCTTTCTTTCCTTATAGAGCAACCTTCTTAATAAAGTCAAAAGTCAAAATAAATAATCCAAAAGTTTCAAAACGGGAGTTTCAATAAATCTTCGCGAAACCTACAAAAAGTAATGATTTCGCCCAGGATCGAACTGGGGACGTTCTGCGTGTTAAGCAGATGCCATAACCAACTAGACCACGAAACCATTTGTTATAGTTGGCAAAAGCGCTGAAAAACCACGATAAGTCAAATTTTTGTCAGTCACGTGACATATTGAGGATATAAATCGATAAATTTACACACAAAATACCTTTTTTTTATGAATCGATTCATATCATCGCAGTTTAACTGTTCATTTATAGCTATAATATAACTGATACATGATATTATTTGGTTTATAATATCAATTATATTGAGCAAGCTGTAATTTCTATATAATATTCGTTCCAGCTGATAGTTCCTTTATTGTACACCATGTTATAACATTAATTATAGGGCGAGCATTTACTTCAGAGCGTGAGTGCAAATCATTTCAAAACTTAATACAATTCGCTTTCACTATCAATCATGACCTGCACTCATGTTGACTATAAGTTCATATACATTATCAATTATATAATTAAATTCATTTGATGAAGTCTTGTTCGGTGATGTTTGAGCTATCACACATTTCTCTAAATCTTCCAGATTGTCTAAATAAGTGGATTGGTGTATCAAATTGTTCAATTTCACCCTTCTCCAACACTAAAATCTTGTCATAATTTAAAATTGTTTTCAATCTATGGGCGATACATAACACGGTGCAATCTTTGAATTCTTTTGTTATCGTTCTTTGAACTAAGGCATCTGTCTCATAATCAACACTTGAAGTCGCTTCATCCATAATTAAAATTTTGGAACGACGAACTAAAGCTCTAGCTAATGCCAATAATTGACGTTCACCCAATGAGAAATTGGCCCCTTCATCTTCAACAAGGGCTTCTAAATGAAATTTGTTCTCTAAATCACTTTTGACCCCGGCCAAATTATTAGCGTCAATCAAACCACTTCTTCTCAACGCATCCCATAACTCAAGATCTTCATGTTCATTGAAAGGGTCCAAGTTCCTTCTAACGGTACCTTCGAATAAAACTGGATCCTGTGGAATGATTGATAACTTAGATCTAAGATCATGCAAACCAATGTTTTTAACATCAACTCCATCTATCTCAATCGTACCCTCAGCGAGCTCTGTAAGTCTGTAAATTGCATATATGATTGAAGATTTACCAGCACCAGTTCTACCACAAATACCAATTTTTTGATTAGCTTCAACTTTAATATCAAGGTTCTTCAAGACTAATGGTAATCCTGGACGGTATCTCAAAGATACATTGTTGAAATTTATAGCACCATTTTGAGGCCATTCTGGGGCTGGTGCTCTACCAGGTATCTTATAGTCAGATTCTTGCTCTAAATCATTAGCATAATGACATAATCTTTCAACGGAGTTCATCTCATTTTCCACTTCCGAATATGAAACTAGCCATAAAGATAAGACACCAGATAAATCCAAGATATAAGTTGTAATCAAACCTGTTGAAGCAGCACTTATATTGAATTGTCTCGTCAGTGCCAACATTGTGACGACAAATGCAATACCACAACCTGTTAAATCTAATGTAATACCTATCCATCTTTGATTTGCAACAGTAACAAGATAAGACTCATTCAATCTATCAACCAGTTCATCATTTGTTTCAATAAATCTGTATTCTGAGCCATAAGCTTTGATGGTGCTCATCCCGTTTAGCACTTCATTAAAATTGTGATATAAATGAGATCTACTCAATGCTTCCAATCTCTTAACTTCTCTTGAAGATGCTTGATAAAAATTTGCAACAAGACCAAAAATAGCCACAATCAAAGGAATAGCAATAGCAAACCAAGGTAAATAAACAACACACATAACAAGGATTGCAATAATCATTACGCAAAAATGTATCAAAAGTTTCAAATGGTTACCAATTTCGTTATCTAAGGAGTTTGTATCTTTGGTGAATCTATTCAAGATTCTACCACTTGGTGTAGTATCAACAAAGCTCATTGGTGTACGCATGACTCTCTTTACAGCATTTAAGTTCAAGTTTTTAGATGAATTGATGATTAAGTACCCCATGACACCAAGTTCCAAAAACATTGTAATGACTGCAAAGAACGTAAAGAGTACATATATCCCAATGTACACTCCATCTGAATAGCCAAATCTTTTATCAATCCAAAATGATAACCAAATATTGGCAAACATTGAAAAGAAAATTGAAGCAATAGTAATAAAAATCAAAACTGGGAAAGCAGCCCAACCAAAAATACCTGATCCTGCTTCTAAATACTGTTTGTAGATAGAAAATGGAATTGCATTCACAGCTTTATCTTCCTTGTCGTATAGTCCACCATCAGCATCATCAAAATCGTCCATTTCAACTTCATCATGATTTTTAACAACTTTTTTGGTCACTTCGTCATCAGTAGTCTTGCTGAAATTCATTAGTGACTGGAATTTAGCATTTTGGTATTGAAGCTCCTGTGGTGTCCCGGTATCTATTCTGCCATCATCATTGATGAAAACAATCTGATCTGCCTTTGATATTAAAGACAGTTGATGGGTTGCCAAAACTCTAGTCTTGTCACTAATTAATCCTAATAAACAATTCTCAACAATATGTTTACCAACTTTAGCATCAACCGCACTCAAAACATCATCGAATAAATAAATATCCCTTTGAGAATAGATAGCTCTTGCCAAATTAATTCTTGCCTTTTGACCACCAGATAATGTAACACCTCTTTCACCAACACTTGTCATATCACCTGCTGGCAAGTTATTGATGTCAATCTCCAACGAACAGGCTTTGATGGTTTTGCGGTAAAGAGCAGGATCAAACTTGGAACCGAACACGATATTCTCTCTAATCGTAGTGCTTTGAATCCATGGTGATCCACAAAGTATTGAGGTCCCATCGATAGAAACATTACCTTCAAGTCTTTTCATGTTACCTTTGATAGCACTTAATAATGAAGATTTCCCAGCACCAGTAGAACCAGTAACAACAACAAATGAGCCCTTAGGTATTTCGATGTTAACATTTTCCAGTGTAAATCCAGACTTCTCGTCGCCATCTTCAAAGTTTTCCCATTCGAATTTCCCGTCTGTGACTTTGATTGCAGTTTTCCCATCAATCTTTACATGTTCTTCAAACTGGAATGGTTCGATTGGTGATTTCAAAAATTCAGCAACTCTCTTGACACTAACCCAACCAGCTGTACAGAATGACATTAACATAGGGAAATCAGCAATTAAGTTTGTCAGAGTATTGTATAGAGCTAGCGATGAAAAAACTGCACCAGCAGATGACTTACTGCGATCAATAGCGTATAAAACCAAAAATGCAGTCATTGATGCCAAAGGTGACAGATTAAAAACAATTGCATAAACCGTATTTGTGATCCATTCACACAAAAAAATAAAATATGATTCTTTTGATCTTTCTTCAATTATTTTTTCATGATAGGCATTTTCCCAAGCGTATAATTTGATCATTTTCATTGAATTCAAGACCTCTCTCATCAATCCAACTCTTTTATCAGTATACTGTGCAGATTTTTCTCTATATTTTAGCAAAAACGAAGCTGGAACTGATAACAAGGCCATAGAAATCACAAAAATCCCAATACCTGTTAGAGCAGCAACACCTATATTGACAATAAGAATAGCTACCCCTGCAATGAATGGAAGTGGGATTGCAACAACAAAAGGAAAATAACTGATGGCCATATCAATTTTAGATAAATCACTACTCATCAAAGTGAAGACTTTACTGTTACTAAAATCATGCTTTGATTTGGAGTTAATTGTGAATGATTTTTCCATCAAAGACTTTGTAATTATGGATCTTGCATGTGCACCAATTAGCTTTGAGTTCTGAAGACAATGGTTGTAAAATAACCCAGCAAATGCAGTACACAAAGCAATACCAACCGCATACCCAACACCATCATTAATAGGGGAGTTTGGTATCAAGACTTTGGTTTCCACAACATCAATTAATTCTTTAATTAAAATAGGTGCAACAATAATGAATCCATAAGCCAAAGTACTGGCGAGAATTGCAAAAGAGTATTCCCATTTAAAGGTTAGGAATAAAGCATATAAAATAGCATAATCTGGGAAAGTAGAATCATTCAATTTGTTTTTGCTTTGATATGACTTTGTGATCTTGTTTAAATTGTTTTGGAATCTTGGATAAGTTGTTTGAAGAGATAGTCTGTTGTCCAACTTCCACAAATCGTTGTAGTCCAAAGTTCTTTTGTAACCTCTTGCAAACAACGGGATCAACCAAGTGAAGAATATTCTGGATAAGATGTTCTTTGTATATAGCGGTAACGTCTGACGCTCTGACTCTTCACGAGTAGGTGGCACCTTTTTGGATAATAATGGAGTCAACAGCCTTTTGACTGGCTTGACCGTTTTCTCTTCACTGTTGAGCTCTTCTCTGAGTTCTATGTCTTCCAAAGACATCCTTTTAGAAACCATGACCTTTGTGAACTAGCAAAACCACATTCAAATGGCAATAAAAGTTGATATTCCAGGGTCTACACTCCTTTTTTATGTGTATTAGAGTTTGCCGCTTCGAAATTTTTTTTGATAAGATTCAGGTCGCTCGGCCGAGCCTGTCCAGGCGAAGCTCGCAGCTCGTAGCTCGTAATCGCCTAGGCGCTGGGCATGAGAAGATGAGGCGGCCTTAGCCTCGTAGGCAAGGGCACACGCGAAGGGTTCTGCCTAACAAGGAGCTTTATAGCAAACGTCAAAGATAGGCAAAATAAGTTCTTCTACGACTTTCCAGAATTTGATGTCAATAGTTCATTAGCTAAACATTTCCTAATTAAAGTCATCAATAGTGATGCTTGAACTATCACACATTTCTCTAAATCTTCCAGATTGTTGGAATAAGCTGATTGGTGCATCAAATTGTTCAATTTCACCCTTCTCCAACACTAAAATCTTGTCATAATTTAAAATTGTTTTCAATCTATGAGCAATACATAGTACAGTACAACCCTTAAATTCTCTTGAAATAGTTCTTTGAACTAAAGCATCTGTCTCATAATCAACGCTTGAAGTCGCTTCATCCATAATCAAGATCTTGGAACGACGAACCAGAGCTCTAGCTAGCGCCAATAATTGACGTTCACCTAATGAGAAATTAGCTCCTTCATCTTCAACAAGAGCTTCTAAATTGAACTTATTTCTTGAGTCATTTTTAATACCTTCCAGATTATCAGCATCAATTAAGCCACTTCTTCTCAACGCGTCCCATAACTCTAAATCTTCATGTTCATTGAAAGGGTCCAAGTTCCTTCTGATGGTGCCCTTGAATAATACTGGGTCTTGTGGAATGATTGATAACTTAGACCTCAAATCATGTAAACCAATATTTTTAACATCAACTCCATCTATTTCTATAGTACCCTCAGCTAATTCTGCAAGCCTGTAAATTGCATAGATGATTGAAGATTTACCAGCACCGGTTCTACCACAAATACCAATTTTTTGATTAGCTTCAACTTTAATGTCTAAATCTTTTAAAACCAATGGCAAACCTGGACGGTACCTTAATGAGACGTGATTGAAGTTCACAGCACCATTTTGAGGCCATTCTGGAGAAGGAGCTCTTCCAGGTATTTTGTGAGCAGATTCTTGTTCTAGGTCATTAGCATAACGACATAATCTTTCAACAGAGTTCATCTCATTTTCAACTTCTGAGTAGGATACCAGCCACATGGTCAAAGTACCAGATAAATCAAGAATATATGTAGTAACCAAACCAGTTGAGGCAGCACTAATGTTAAACTGTCTAGTCAATGCTAGCATGGTGACAATAAACGCAATTCCACAACCTATCAAGTCCAAAGTGATAGCAATCCATCTTTGATTTGCAACAGTGACTAAATAAGATTCATTCAATCTATCAGTCAACTCATTGTTTTTTTCAATGAATCTGTGTTCTGAATTATAAGCTTTAATGGTACTCATACCACTCAACACTTCATTGAAGTTTTGATATAAATGAGATCTACTCAATGCTTCCAATCTCTTTACTTCCCTTGAGGACGCCTGATAAATATTTGCAATAAGTCCAAAAATGATCACAATCAAAGGGATAGCAATGGCAAACCAAGGTAAATAAACAACACACATGACCAAAATACCAATGATCACAACAAAAAAATGAATAAAAAGTTTTAACTGATTACCAATCTCATTATCCAAAGAATTTGTATCTTTGGTGAATCTGTTCAAAATTCTACCACTTGGTGTAGTATCAACAAAGCTCATTGGTGTACGCATTACTCTTTTAACAGCATTTAAGTTCAAATTTTTGGAAGCATTGACAACAAAATATCCCATAATACCAAGTTCCACGAACATTGAAACCACTGCTAAGAATGTGAACAAGACATAAATACCCATATAAGTGGAATCAGAATAGTTAAACCTCTTATCTATCCAGAACGATAACCAAACATTGGCAAACATCGTGAAAAAGATTGTTGTAACAGTAATGAAAACCAAAAAAGGGAAAGCGGCCATTCCAAAAACCCCAGATCCTGCTTGTAAATACTGCTTGTAAATTGAAAATGGAATTGCATTCACAGCTTTATCTTCTTTTTCATATAATCCTCCGTCAACCCCATCGTAGGAATCCAATTCAATTTCATTATGCTTAACTTTTTTAACAGCTTTTTGGACCTCTTCATCATCAGAAGCCTTGCTGAAATTCATTAGTGATTGGAATTTAGTATTTTGATATTGAAGCTTTTCTGGTGTCCCCATATCTATCTTTCCATCATCATCAATAAAGATTATTTGATCAGCTTTTGAAATTAAAGACAATTGATGAGTTGCCAAAACTCTAGTCTTGTCACTAATTAATCCTAATAAACAATTTTCAACAATATGTTTACCAACCTTAGCATCTACCGCACTCAAGACATCATCGAATAAATAAATATCCCTTTGAGAATAGATGGCTCTTGCTAAGTTAATTCTTGCCTTTTGACCACCGGATAATGTAACACCTCTTTCACCAATACTTGTCATATCACCTGCTGGTAAGTTTTTGATGTCAATCTCCAACGAACAGGCTTTAATGGTTTCGCGGTAAAGAGCAGGATCAAACTTGGAACCAAATAGAATGTTTTCTCTGATTGTAGTGCTTTGAATCCATGGTGATCCACAAAGAATTGAGGTCCCATCAATAGAAATATTACCTTCAAGTCTTTTCATACTACCTTTGATAGCACTTAATAATGAAGATTTCCCGGCACCAGTGGAGCCAGTAACAACAACAAATGAGCCCTTAGGTATTTCGATGTTAACATTTTCCAGTGTAAATCCAGACTTCTCTTCATCATCTTCGAAATTCTCCCATTCAAATTTTCCATCCTTCACTTTGATTGCAATTGTACCATCACTTTTTGTGCGTTCCTCGAACTGAAATGGTTCGATTGGGGATTTCAAAAATTCAGCAACTCTTTTAACACTAACCCATCCAGTTGTACAGATAGATAGAAGCATAGGAGAAAGTCTGCAACTAAATTTGTTAAAGTATTGTACAAAGCTAATGAAGCAAAAACAGAACCAGCAGATGACCTATTTTTATCAATAGCATGCAAGACCAAAAATGCAGTCATTGAAGCTATAGGTGAGAGGTTGAAAACAACAGCATAAACCACATTGGTAATCCATTCACATAAAAAGATGTAATATGATTCTTTTGTTCTCTCTTCAATTATCCTTTCCTCATAAGCATTTTCCCATGCGTACAATTTGATCATTTTCATTGCATTCAAGACTTCTCTGATTAATCCAACTCTTTTGTCTGTGTACTCGGCAGATTTTGCTCTAAATCTCATCAAATATGATGCTGGTATAGAAATTAAACCAAGACATAACAGAAAGATGGCAATACCTGTCAAACCTGCAACACCAATATTGGCCATTAAAATCACGATACCTGCGATAAATGGTAGTGGAGTTGAAATAACAATGGGAAAATAACTAATGGCCATATCAATTTTGGATAAATCACTGCTCATCAATGTGAAAATTTTACTATCATTGAAATCATGTTTTGTTTTAGAATTGACAGTTAATGACTTTTCCATTAATGATCTTGTGATTATGGATCTGGCGTGTGTGGCGACTAACTTTGAATTTTGGAAACAATGATTGTGGAATAACCCAGCAAATGCAGTACACAAAGCAATACCAAGAGCATAACCAATACCATCGTTAATAGGGGAGCTTGGTATCAATACCTTGTTCTCAACAACCTCAATCAGCTTTTTGACCAAGATTGGTGACACGATGACAAAACCATAAGCTAAAGTACTGGCAAGGATTGCAAAAGAATATTCTCCTTTGAAGGTTAAGAATAAAGCATATAGAATAGCATGATCTGGGAAAGTAGAATCTTTGTTTTTGTTTTGATATGACTTTGTGATCTTGTTTAAATTGTTTTGGAATCTTGGATAAGTTGTTTGAAGAGATAGTCTGTTGTCCAACTTCCACAAATCGTTGTAGTCCAAAGTTCTTTTGTAACCTCTTGCAAACAACGGGATCAACCAAGTGAAGAATATTCTGGATAAGATGTTCTTTGTATATAGCGGTAACGTCTGACGCTCTGATTCTTCACGAGTAGGTGGCACCTTCTTGGATAATAATGGTGTCAACAGCCTTTTGACTGGCTTGACCGTTTTTTCCTCGCTGTTGAGCTCTTCTCTGAGTTCTATGTCTTCCAAAGACATCTTTTTAGAACCCATGACTTCAGACTTCAGCGTATTAGCAGCACGACAGCTATGTGAGATACCATTTCAAGCGCTAAACGAAGTTCTATCCAACGTCTTAAATACAGAGACTACCTCTGTTTGTGCCTATCTATGACACTGTGTTTCTCAAGTCTCAGTGATACTGTGACTGTAGGACAATCAAGCACGGTTGTCTCTTGATCACGTGACAGTTAAAGAAGTATTTTTTTAATTTCGCGCACTTGCTAATTTCGTTTAACAGGACCAAACGTACACTATACATCAAACGCTGAATAAAAACAACTCTGGGAACCAGGTCTTTGTAGGTTAGATCAAGCCTATATGGATATGTTTTGTATTTTGTTCTCACAACAGCTGTCAACAAAAGAAAGTGGACGGTTCTTAGGCGGAGTTAGGGTCTGCTTAGAAATAGCCAGTCTTTCGTTCTACAGTTTGATATAAATTTAAAGGGCATCTATCATTTAAACTATGTACACAATATCAACAATATCGATTACTTAAAGTCATCGGCCGTTATATCAGAGCTTTCACACATTTCTCTGAAAATACCTCCTTTGCTGAACAGTTCTGTTGGTTCACCATACTCTTCCAACTCACCTTTTTCTAAAACCAAAATCTTATCATACTTAATGATGGTCTTCAATCTATGGGCGATACAGAGAATTGTACATTCTTTAAACTCCTCTGCAATGGTTTTTTGAATTTTAGCATCAGTCTCAAAATCAACACTTGAAGTAGCTTCATCCATTATCAATATCTTGGAACGACGAACTAAAGCTCTGGCCAATGCCAATAATTGACGTTCACCTAATGAAAAATTGGCACCTTCATCTTCAACTTTACTGTTTAGGTGAAATTTATCTTGATTTTCTGTCTGGGTTTTTATTGTTCCAAATTTTTCAGTGGAAATTAATCCGCCTCTTCTCATTGCATCCCATAATTCATCATCTGTAGCTTCATTGAAAGGATCCAAATTTTTCTTAATGGTTCCTTGAAACAAAACAGGATCCTGTGGGATGATTGATAGTTTGGATCTCAGATCAAAAAGACCTAATTGACTAATATCAACACCATCAATCAAAATTTCACCACCAGCTAATTCACTTAATCTGTATAAAGTTGATACTAAAGAACTTTTACCAGCACCTGTTCTACCACAAATACCAATTTTTGAGCTTCCATCAACAACAAAGCTGAGATTGTTTAAAACCAATGGTAAACCTTCACGGTATCTTGATGAGACGTTTTGAAAACTCACTTCACCTTTGGTTGGCCATTCTGGAGCTGGTTTGAATTCTGATCTTCTATATGCAGCTTCTTGTTCCAAATTATTAGCATAATGACAAACTCTCTCTACTGAATTCATTTCATTCTCCACTTCTGTGTATGATGTTGAAATAAATGAAAGCAACTGGGAAAACTCAATCATATAATAGGTCAATAACCCAACTGAAGATGGACTAATATTAAATTGTCTTGTAACAGATAGCATTGCAACAATAAATACAATAAGACCAGCTAAAGTATCCAAGTTAACAGCTATCCATCTTTGATTAGCAATCACGACGAAATAAACTTCATTCAACCTATCAACAAACTTATCATTCTTCTTCATGAATCTATTCTGAGCTCCATAGGCTTTAATAGTGTTTAAACCATTCAAGACTTCATTAAAATTGTTGTAAACAAATGAACGATTGATAGCTTCCAATCTTTTAACTTCTCTTGAAGAAGCTTGATAATAATTAGTGATCACCAAAAACATAATCAACAAAAATGGAATAGTTATAGCAAACCAAGGTAAATAAATGATAGCTAATATCAAGATCCCTATAATGACTGCCCCAAAATGTAAAAATAATTTCAACTGTAGACTAATTTCATTATCCAAGGAGTTTGTGTCTTTTGAGAATCTATTAATGATTCTACCAATAGGTGTTGTATCCATAAAACTCATCGGTGTATGTAAGACTCTTTTAACAGCTTGTAAATTTAAAACTTTTGAAGCTTCTGTATTAATATATCCCATCATGGTGAACTCCAAAGCTATAAAAACACAACTCAATATAGTAAACCCAACATAAAGACCAATATAAGTACCATTTGATAAACTCTTGAATCTATTACCAACCCAAAATGATAACCAAACATTAGTAAACAAAGTTAGGAAAACAGCAAGAATCATTAAGAATAATAAGATAATGAAGGCTGAAAACCCAAATACACCTTGTCCTGCTTGAGCATACTGTTTGTAAATTGAAAATGGAATACTATCATAAGCACGTTCTTCCTCTCCGAATAAGGCACCATTTTCTTCACCTGGTTTAGCTTCATCATTAACACTGGTAACTTTTGCTATTTGATCATTTTCCTTGTGATCTCCAGATTCATGTTCTTTATTGAACTCCATCAAAGCAACAAATTGAGGGTTTTTCTCGCGTAGTTCATTCTCAGTACCAACATCAATTGTACCATCATTGTTTACAAACACAACACGATCAGCTTTTTTAATTAGAGACAGTTGATGAGTAGCTAAAATTCTTGTTCTATCACCAATATACTCCATCAAACAATATTTTGTAATATGTTTCCCAACATTTGCATCAACCGCACTAAGTATATCATCAAGGAGATAAATATCTTTATTCAAAGAATAAACTGCACGAGCCAAGTTAACACGAGCTTTTTGACCACCAGATAAAGTGACACCTCTTTCACCAATCTCTGTTAAATCACCAGCAGGTAATGACTTCAAATCAGATTCTAGTGCACAAACTTCGATAACTGATTTATATCTCTTTGAATCATATTGTTCACCAAATAAAATGTTTTCTTTCACTGTAGAATTTTGAACCCAAGGTTGACCACATAACAATAATGAACCATTAACACCAATTGAGCCGCTTCTTTTAGCCATGAATGATGCAATAGCGGATAACAAAGATGATTTACCAGATCCTGTTGACCCAGTAACAACAATAAACTCACCTTGATAAACATTTAAATTGATGTCATGCAAACCTGAAAACTTTTTTTCATGTTCTTCTGTGGATTCATTTGGTAGTTCATTTAATTCTTTTTCCTCTGATTCTGTTTTTACTTCTTGAGCATCATTTGATGTTTCAGGTTTTTTATCGAACAAACTCCATTTCTTTTTAGGTTTTGGTTTTGTCTTTTTCACATCCTTAGTGTCATCTTCTTTCAATTCTTCAAATTCAGGCCATTCAAATTCACCATTTTCAATCTTTACCGCGACTTTAGACTTTGGATCAATTATTGAATTGTCATAAAAATTTTCAACAGCATCAAATTCCACTGGAGATTGTAAATATTTTGTAATTCTATCAATAGCAGATAATGCATCAGCGCAGTATGATAATATAATTGGGATATTTGTGACTTGAACTGCCAATAAATTGAACAAAGATAATGATGAAAACACAGCTGCTGGGTTTCCATGGGACCTAACAGCATATAAAACCAAAAAGGCACCCATTGAAGTAATTGATGCAGAATTCAAAGCAATTGTACTGATAATGTTTATAACAAGTTGGATCTTGAAAACATATTTAATCTCTTTGTTTCGAATGACAGTAACCAATTTTTCATAAGCATCTTCCCAAGAATAAAATTTAACCATCTTCATACTTTGTAAAATTTCTCTCATTAAGGAAACTCTTTCATCTGTAAATTTGTTTGCCTTGATTCTTAATTTAAACATTGCACTTGCAGGAGTTGACATCACAATAAATGTCAATATAAAAATAGCAATACCAGCCAATGCTGAAACTCCTAGATTAACAATCAATAAAACAATACCAATGATAATCGGAACAGGAAATGCCACAACAAGGGGGAAAAATCCTAAAGCTAAATCAATTCTTGATAAATCAGCACTCATAAAAGAAATTATTTTACCACTTGGGTATTTATATCTTGTTTCAGCATTTGCAATCAGAGATTTATTCAATAAAGCTTTTGTTAAAATAGTTTTCGAATGACCACCAACTAATTTTGCATATTGTAAAGATTGGTTGAACAAAATAGCAGATGCTATCAACAATAAAGTTAATCCTATAGAATAACCAACACCTTTATTTACTTTCAAGTCTGGATTCAGTGATTTTTGTTGAATAAAATTGATTAAATCTCTTGAAACCAAAGGGGAAAATGTTATAGCTATATTTCCAAGGACCCTAGCAAACGAAGCAATGAAATATTCCCATTTAAAAGTTTCCAAAATTGCCATAACGATTGCAAATCTTGGTATTTCATCTTTATTTTCTAAATCAGGATTCTTCAAATGATAAGTCACGATTCTTTTGGTTAAATTTGCTTCAAATCTTTCGTAAACATAGTCTATTGAAGTTTTCTCATCTAAATGCCATAAATCCTCCTGTAGTAATGTTCTTTTATAGCCTTTGTTTAGTAAAGGAATCAACCAAAAAAAGAAGAATTTTGACAATAAATTTGTATGATACAAAGGGTATGGTTTTCTTTCTGATTCTTTTGGTATTTCTGGCACCTTTTTAGTCAAAAATGGGGTTAACAATCTATGAACAGGACGTTGCTTTGACAGGATGTTTTGCTCCAGGTCAACCAAGTCCTTACTTTCAGCAACAGAGGCATTAGAAGACATCTCTCAATAGTTCTGGGATCTGAAGTGGCGAAAGGGCGTTGTGAAGTTTTCAATCTTTGCCACGTAAGAAAACCGTCAGCACTAGCAGCTCTGTCTCTGAGATATCTAATACTATAGCAATTCAGCAGTGTGCCACCACAGCTCCATCCAGGGACGTGTCTGGTATTTGTACTTGTCGTTAAAAGTTACAAGTTACGAGCCTTACACTGTTTTGTTTTCATAAAAAAACTTTGACTGTACAAGTTTTCAGTCGTGATGTTCAACGGCTAATTAAGAAGTTTACACCGTAAAATCCGAGAGAGAGACACTTGTGAGGCTGTTAGAAATTAGCATAGGCTGGGTCCTTGGGCAACTATTTCCACTCCATTGTTTTATTATATTCTGTTTAATCTTTACTCTTTAGCCATTCTATTTTGTAATTTAAAAAACATGGATTAAAGCAGGCCTTACAGTTCAAAGTATTATGGTGACCGTTATACGTTTCATTCACCTATCTGCAAATCCGAATTGCACAAGTGAGGAAATACCATGAGCTCATCAAATACAGAGATATACTGCAGGAAGGTCTATCAGTCTAGCTAATACGTTGAGACTTGATAGCGCATACTTACACTACGACATTTTTCAAAAATTGAATAAAGTTTGAGCCTTTTGGAAGAACTGCAGCAGCACCAATTCTTCCCAATGCTTACAAAAAACTCTTATAATAGTCTTATATCTTGGTGAATAAGTATTCTGTTACAAAAATTCGCATCGTGATGTTATAGAAAACGTTCAGGCTTCAGATCCCAAATCCCAACAATCGATCAACAAGTTAAAAATAAATCTCTTCAGCTTCAACTCTAATTGTGGCGGTAGACTGTAGTCGGTACAAGCTTTATCACTTGATAGGCAATCTTACAATCAGCAAGTGACTCGAAAGTTCATTTCATAGACTCTGTGGGTTGGTTTCCGTGGACGTGAGTACTGTACGCTGTTGTACGATGTATCCATGGATATGCTTCCGTGGAATTCGCTAATTTTCAGATGTTTCAATTAACGCTAATTTTCCAAAAAGGATATCCTCTTTGGGTGAGGAGGCTCAAAGAAACTGATTTCTTCGATTATTAATTATTTTAAATATTATTTTGATTTATATTATATCATTTTGAGTAAAGTATTATTATTTAAATTAAATATTGAAATTAAATCTAGTTAGAATTTGTAATTTTATAATCTTGGTGATTTCCACAAATTTTACAATTGCTCCAATTATAACAATGGCCAGCTTTTTTAGTTCATTCTTACTTGTTTTTATTCTGATTTATTCCTTTTATTATAAATCAGTCATAGACTGAGTCCCCAGTGATTTTGTACATTATTTTAGCATTTTATAATTAATACACATCAGATACATTTAAAAAAAAAAAAAAATAATGATCTAATAATCATGTGCAAAGAATTATGTACAATATAATTAAATAATTCAGATTTCGAGTACATTTTCTCTTCTGAAGCTAATACTCCAAAGCGATCATGAGCTATCATTAAGTTAGTTATTGGAATTAGTGCCTTCGACCTCACCATTATAACATTAATCAAAATTATATCTAGCTAGCTATAGTCGACGTAGTACTACGTACCCCGGGGTTCGGGGATAACGCATTCTGTAACATATAGACGAAGTTTGAAAACTTTTGGCACAAAAATAACTTATACTACAGACCAAAGGTCTGCTAAATTAGAGGGACCAAATACAGGGTTCTATAGTTCTGTCATATATCATCCAAACGGAAACCATAAGGCTAAGAAATTATTTCGCACCAAGTTAGAACATCGACGATATCAATAACAAATGTGCTATGTCATGGAAGATCTCAACAGCAACAGGAAACCTCTTATTATCAATGGTTCAGTTTATAGCTCTGGCTTACAAACTCACTATTTCTCAAGCTTTCCAAGTATCAACCGATACAGACCAAGTTTGATAGGATTCTTTTCTAGTCTAATCAACAATTCCAGTGAAGGCGGTGTGTAGTACGACTTTCCGGTTTCTGATATTCTTTCTTGGAAGGGAGAGATTTGGAATACCTTTCTTCAGTTATCTTGAAAATGTGAATATAATTATTTATCAAAGTTCAAATTATAGACGGCGTACCAAAATAGAAATAATGTACAGAAAACTATTTTGAAAGTATTCAAGAGTAAAAGGGTTACAAGAAATCTTCAAATGGTACAAGATCTGTCAAAGATTGGGTACCCGATTAATGTGTCTGGAAATCTCATAACTTCAATCTGAAAATTGATGAACATTTGCCAGAACTCCCAGATGCTCCATTGCTTTCAATGTATAACATTAGGGAAATATTACAAGTTGATTGTGACCTTGTATTGTAATGATTTAATAATCAATCCAAATTCCAGCTTTTCACTACTAGTAATCACTGAAATAGTTCACAAGTTACAACCTTTCCGATGATGATTATTATTTGAACGGAAATGTCAGGGTGAAACAATAATGTACTCATGAAAGGCTAGGTAATAAAATGAGATCGATCTAAAATCTCAGCTTTCAAAGTTTTCAAGCCTTCAGTCGCTTTGGATGTGGCCATTCTGCTGTGGCGAGTGTAAATTGCACGTGACTTGACACTATAATAAATACCGACGTCAACGTTCTTAAAATGAAAATTTTTAGAATAAAAGATGATTCTTTCACGTCTATAACCTGTTGAATCTATTCAGTTACATTAAAAACCAGAATACAAAATGCCTGCTCCTCACGGTGGTGTCTTACAAGACCTTATTGCTAGAGATTTACCAATCAAAGATGACTTATTAAAAGAATCTGAAACTTTACAATCAATCATTTTGAATCCTCGTCAATTATGTGATTTGGAATTGATCTTGAACGGTGGGTTTTCTCCTTTGACTGGGTTCTTAACTGAAAAAGATTACAATGGTGTTGTTGAGAAATTACACCTAGCCAACGGTTTAGTGTGGACTATTCCAATTGTTTTGGATCTATTCAAAAAAGATGCAGATTTGTACAAAGTTGGTGAAAGAGTCACTTTAAGAGACGAAGATGGTTATGCCTTGTCCATTTTGACCATTGCTGATAAATACCAACCAGATAAACAAAACGAAGCTAAAAAAGTGTTTGGTGGTGATCCTGAACATCCAGCTATCAAATATTTATTCGATGTTTCTGGTGATGTTTACATTGGTGGTGACTTGCAAGCTATTAGATTACCAATCCATTACGATTACACAGCTTTAAGAAAGACTCCAAACCAATTGAGAGATGAATTCGCTTTGAAAGGCTGGGATAGAGTTGTTGCCTTCCAAACAAGAAATCCAATGCACAGAGCTCATAGAGAATTAACCGTTAGAGCTGCAAGAGAACATACTGCTAATGTCTTGATTCACCCAGTTGTTGGTTTAACAAAACCTGGTGATATTGATCATCACACAAGAGTTAGAGTTTATCAAGAAATTATTAAAAGGTACCCAAGTGGTTTGGCTCAATTATCTTTATTACCAATTGCCATGAGAATGGGTGGTCCAAGAGAAGCTGTTTGGCATGCAATTATTAGAAAAAATTATGGTGCAACCCATTTCATTGTTGGTAGAGATCATGCTGGTCCTGGTTCAAACTCAAAAGGTGTTGATTTCTATGGTCCATATGATGCTCAAGAATTGGTTGAAGAATATAAACATGAATTAGGTATTGATGTTGTTCCTTTCAGAATGGTTACTTATCTACCAGATGAAGACCGTTATGCTCCAATTGATACCATTAAAGATGGCGTAAGAACTTTGAACATTTCAGGTACTGAATTAAGAAAAAGATTAAGAGATGGTTCAGAAATCCCAAGTTGGTTCTCATACCCTGAAGTTGTTAAGATTTTGAGAGAATCTCATCCACCAAGACCAAAACAAGGTTTCACACTATATTTAAACTCTTCAATTCTAGCTCATGCTTTATTAGCTACTTTCAATCAATTTGGTGGTAGACATTACACCATTTTGAATAAACAATATGCTTCACCTTTTATTGCTCATGAATTAACAAGATCAGGTGCTGGTGTGATCATCTTGAATGAAAGTGATGATTCAAAAGCTATTGCGGAATTCAAAAAAGAAGTTTCAAAAGCTGGTACTTTTATTACTGTTAATGATGAAGCTGATAAAGTGCAATATAATGAACCTGAAGTCACTGTTGATCTAAGTGGTAATCCATTAACTGCTGTTCAAAAAATCGTCTTGTATCTTGAAGAACAAGGATTTTTCCGTTTCTAATTAATTTTATAGACCTTTGAAATATTATAATATTTGTAAATCTACAGAACAAAAGATATTCTATCTTAAATATAAATATTAGAAATAATCGTAAACCTCTATAAACAAACAACTTTTTTAATCCCTGTTCACCTTTTGCTTAAAAACCAGGACTAGTTATATATGATCTGAATTTTGAAATGAATGCGTTAGCTTTTTCTTCAGAGTCTGCAACTTTAGGGTTAACAGTAACCTTAACAGTGACAGTAGGGTCTGGAACATTAGCTGGTTTTGAATCAACAAAATCTAACAAATCAGTCACATCAAATGATTCCACTTGTTTTGGTGCTTGGATATCTAAATCAACAGTAAATCTTTCTAAATTGGTTGGTAATGAAACTAAATCTTCGAAAATTGGATCATAGTAATCACTTGAAACTTTTTTAGGTTGATATGCAAATTGTTCAGCGCGTTTTGAAGCTTCAGTGACATATTGGGTTAAATCAAAATGGATACCTCTTTCACCTGCGAAATCCTCAGCGGTTACTTCTAATGAAGTCAAGTTGAAAGTTTCACTAATAACTTTGATTTCTTTCTTTGGCTTTTCTGGTTTAGCTTCCTTTTTAGCTTCAGCTTCTTTTGGAGTTATTTTCAATTTTTCAATGTTTGATAAATCTAATTTAGCGTGAGAATTGATGAAGTTTGAAACTTTTGAAACAGATTCTTGAGAAATACGACCCAAGTAAGCTAAAACATCACCTTTGACAATACGACCATTTGGACCACTAGCTTTGATATTTGATAAGGCATCTTCTTTAGAAATCTTGTTAGCTTCGAGCAATGATGCAACTGAAGGGAAGAATGTTTGTTTTGGGTCAGCCTTCACTGAATCGGATGATGATGATGAGGATGATTCACTTGGTGAACTCTTTTTGGTGGTTGCAGGTTCTTGTTTTTTTGGTTCTTCTTTCTTGGTTGGTTCCTGTTTTTTAGCTGGTTCACCTTTTGAACTAGATTTGATTTCTGGTAATTCTAAAGTAGCTAAATCATCACCTGGTTCTGCAATAATTGCAATTGCTTCACCAACTGGAACATCTTTTGAACCATCAGCTTTGATAATTTTGGCCAAAATACCATCGTCTTGAGCTTCCACATCAATTTGAGATTTATCGGTTTCAACTTCAAGTAAAATATCACCAGATTTGAATGAATCACCTTCTTTAAATTTCCATTCAGTAACACCACCTTCATTCATGGTTGGTGACATTGCAGGCATTGAAAAGATTTCAGCTTTCAACAAAGATCTAGAAGAATGGATACCTGTTAATTCAGAGTTAGCGAGATTTCAATAAACCAATTGAAATAGAAACTTACATCTTTTTTGAGCATTGCGTAGGTTTGACACAAATGACTTAGATGTTAAACGAAGCATATTGTGTTTTTTTAAGGATAGACTGTTTGTATGTTAACCTCCCACCTTTTGGTTTTTAGAATATTTAATAATTGGTATTGGAACAAATATCAGCTTCCTGAGTTGTAACTTTTCACCAGCGACGTTAATCTAAGAAAACAAAAGTTGTTCGGGTACCAGAGGAGCGTGAACGTCTGTATTCTGTTGATGTATTTTCCTCGATGCTATAAAAATTCATTTTTCACCTGATGGACCCCCACTGCCATTTCAACACGGGCACCGCGAAGCTCTTTGAGGAAAGTTTCCTAAAACAGGTATTTTCAAGTGTTTTATGTATAATTCTACTAGGAAATGAATACATTGTCGTCATCATTGTTATAATAAATAATACAAAATAGTACATACTAATCTATCAGCTGGCGTTTGCTCCATTGTGATGTTGATTCTGTGCTGCTTGGGTTGCACTAGCAGAGTTAGCCGTGGCTATAGCAAAATTTCTCTCACGTCCATAAGCATCATCAGTATCCAGATCGTGTCCACTAGTATCTTTATCATCTCTTCTGGGTCTTCCTCTGCTTCTTTTCAATGGACCCATTAGTTCTGTATCAATAGGAAGCGATTGTGTGGCAGGATCTCTGACCATTTTCTTGGTGATTTTGGTGTTATTGATGGTGGACCCTGTAACCTCAACAGGATATTTTCTTGGTCTACCTTGAGGTCTCTTTGCCTTTGGCTTCTCAGCTGGATATTTCCTTGGTCTTCCGGGAGGTCTTTTAACATTCAGTTGGAAAACATATCTTTTATCATTAGTTTCAAATTCAGCACTATCATTATCAAATTTTTGTTCAATAATCAATGATTCATTATTTATTGGTGGTCTGTGCCCGCTCTGAGTCGGCTGACTTTCTACTTTGAAAGTTGGCTTCATTCTTGATTTTGGTTTGTACATGGAGTTCGGCGAGTTGTTGACAAATCTAAAAGCTTTAGTTTGATTCCCCTGTTGTATATCATTGAAAGTTGTCGTTATAAACTTTTGAGCTCTTGCTTGTGTGATTGAGGCAGATTTGTTGTTACCATTATTGCTATTATTGATGATTTGTTCTTGAGGTTCTTCGCTTGATTCTTGAGCTTTTAAATGTGTTTCATTTGATTCACTCTCCACTAAAAAGGCCTCTTCTATTCCTATTGTGTCATTATCCATCCCAATAATATCATGCTTCAGGTTTTCATTCATTCCATCTTCAAGATCTTTGATAGAAGACATTGCTGGAAGTGGTTAGTATGATGCTAAAGGGACCTTTGGGGATTGAAACTCACAGATTTCGTTATCTATGACAACAGACATTCCCAGTTGGATTCAAAACTGGTGGGTGTTCTCAAATTGAAAAAAAAACAGCAGCAATATGTATTACCGGATTCTCAAAGAGTGTAATTCAGATTCAATACTCGTCGATATAACCTAATTCCACTCCGTTTAACGAATCGATGTAGCCTCTTCAAAATTTCTTTTATGTACAACAGTTTTTTTTCTGATGGGTGAGAAAAAAAAACATTGAAAATTGTCCGGATTAGGAAAGTTCGCGAAATGTGTGTGAACCAGGGCATCTAAAAAAATTTATTTACTTTAGAACCACAGAGTGCGATGAGCTTTGGCATTGGAAATATAGAATTACTGAGGATTGAAAGAGTTAAGAATGGGTAAAAAAAGAGGAAGTAGATTTGTTGAGGAACAAAGAAAGAAGAAACGTCAAGATCAGGATGCCTTGCTTTCTGTTGGGATTGCCAACCTCGCAAATAATGTTCAAGAGGGTTTAGCTGAATCAGATCAAGAGACAGATCAAAGTGCTAATTGGGAAGATGAAGAACAAGAATATGAATTGAAACCTCGATCATTGAAAAATGAAGTGAAAGATTATAACGCTTTACCTATCAAAAGGGGAGGTAAAATTGAAAGAGTTGTGAAAAAGGTTGAGTCAGAAAATGAATCAGAAAGTGAAGAAGAAATTGAAGAGGATGATGAACAAGATAAAAAGTCAAACCCTACTGAAGGACAACTAAATGATGAAAATGAAGAAGACGAAGAGGAGGAACCTGATACAGAGGAGAAAATCATGCTTTTGAAAGAAGAGATTGCTGATTTGGTTGAAAAACTAATGGAGGAACCTGAAGAAAATATAAACATGCTTTCAAGATTATTACGTATGGCCCAATCTAAGAATCCAAACACTTCAAGATTCTCATTATTAGCATTGGTTCCAGCATTCAAAACTATTATCCCTGGTTATAGGATAAGGCCCTTGTCAGATCACGAAAAAGCTGAAAAAGTCTCAAAAGATATTCAAAAACTCAGAAACTTTGAACAAACATTGATTATCAATTATAAAAATTATATTGATCTATTAACGGAACTTGCTAAAAACACTAAAAATGATCATTTAATGGCCCAATTTGCAGTTAAAGCAGCTTGTGAATTATCAGCATCTTTTAGCCATTTCAATTACAGATCAGATTGTTTGCTCATAATAATAAGAAGAGTTTGCAAACCGTCACCAAAAAATGACTCCGTTTTCTCAGATTGTATCAAGACTTTAGAAGTTCTTTTGAACGAAGATGATGCTGGTGATATCTCTTTTGATATAATCAGATTGTTATCCAAGACCTTGAGATCAAGAAAATTCAAAGTTGATGAAAGTGTTATCAATGTCTTCCTTTCAGCAAACATTTTGAATGATTATGACCCAAATGCATCAGAAGAAGAAAAAGCTGAAAAAATTAAATTGAAAAAGAAGGATAGAGTTCATTTATCGAAAAAGGAAAGAAAAGCTCGTAAAGAAAGAAAAGAAATTGAAGAAGAAATGCGTAAAGCTGAACTTGCAGTTTCAGCAGAGGAAAGAGAAAAATTCCAGGCTGAAATCTTGAAGATGTTGCTGAAGGTCTATTTGGATATCCTAAGAGAAAACTCTGAAAGATTAATTGCGTCGGTTTTGGAAGGTTTAGCCAGAATAGGTCACATGGCTAACTTTGATCTTTTGGGTGATTTCTTGGAAGTTATCCGTGAAATTATTAGAAATATTCAAACAGATGAAAAAGGAATAGGGCATTCTGAATCTCGTCACGTTTTACTTGGTATAGTGACTGCCTTTGCCTTGGTTTCTAATCATTCTCAATATAAAGTTCAGGTTGATTTGTCAAGTTTTGTTGATTCATTATACTCAATTTTGTACCAGGTTTCATTTGATGCTGATATTGAATTTTCTCATAAAACTTTGAGATTGGCAGATCCTTTGAGTAATGATTTTAAGAAACCTTCCGTTAATGTTTCCACAAAAATTGAACTTTTACTAAAAGCTTTAGAGAATGTTTTTTTCAAATCCAAAAATGGTTCAAAAGTTAGAGCATTAGCGTTTTCCAAAAGATTAACAATGTGTTTATTAAACACACCAGAAAAGTCATCAATTGCCATTATCAAATTCATGGAGAAATTAATGTCCCGTTATTCTGAAATTGGTGGTCTTTTCTCAACAGAAGATAGAGTTGCAAACGGTAGATTTTTAATGGATTCTGATGTTCCAACAAGAGCCAACTCCGAAGCTGCTACAGTGTGGGAAACTTTGCTTTTAGAGAATCATTATAGTCCAGCTATTGCAAAAGGTGCAAAGAAATTGCTAGCTCGTTCAAAAGAAGCATAGAATAAACGATTATAGATTTTTAGGTACTTCTTCTCTATGTAAAGTTGTACATTATAAATGAAGATATACTCTATAATTTCAACATTGAAGTTCCTTGTTTGGCTTTGTCTTTCTTTAAAGCCCCAGAAACATCTCTCTTTTCACCCTTATCATTAATAATAGTAACATTATTAGCCTTAGATAAAGTGTCAATAACATTTTGTTTCTTTGATTTCTTAACTTTACTTGGATCTTGAGATTGAAATTCTTTTGATCTCTTTCTTTTGTTTGCTCTTCTAAGTCTTTGTTTATCTTCTCTTGATAATTCATCTCTTGAGAAGACAGTACCTGATTTCAATTGAATTTCTGAATCGTTAGCTGATGATTTGGTTTTGAAGATTTCTTGAGGAGCAAGTGAATTGGCGTTTGATGAAGTTAATGGTTGAGCATCTTCCATTGAAATAGTTGGTGCATTGACTTTGATGTCAATTGATTTTTGGGCAGGTTTCGGTATGAAGTGAGCTGAACATAATGAATCTAATTTGTGTGATAATGATTGATACAAAGTTTTAATCTCGTCATGTGCTTGTTGAAGTTTTTCAGAAACTGCAGAATTATCACCAGTACCTTTGAAGTCATCTTCATATAATTCTGCCAATGATTTGGATGATTTAGTTTCACTCAATTGGAAATCTGATGATGGTTTGAAATTTGTTGCTTCTGTCATCATTCTTTTAGGCAAATCATCGAAATTTTCTTCTTTAATTCTTCTTCTAATCATTTCTTCTAATGATTCTGTAACTTCTCTAGTGATAACTGGAACAGGTTTAGCTGTACGGTCAAACTCCAAATCTTCATTTAGTAATGCATCTGAAGGTCTATCTTTAGCCTTTGATTCACCTTTCATCGCCCATTTCTTCTCAGCTATTGCTTCAGTTTCTAATTGTGCTATCTCTCTCTGTATTTGTTGTTGTTGACGTTCAAAACTTGATAAACTTTCTTTTGCTGTTTCGATTTCAGCCTCAGGTTCATCATCGTCAAATAAATCTGTCATAGCTGATTTCATACCTGTATCATAATCTTCTTCTCCAAGATCTTCTTCTTCTTCATCACCTTCTTTAGAAGAATCTTGAAACTTAACAGATCTCTTTTGTTTAGATGGATTTCTTTTATCCTTGAAAGTCCACTTCTTTTTTGGTGGAGGGAAAAAATCCCTATAATATAACACTTCTTCGTCATCATCGGAGTCGGAGAGATCATTGAAATAATCCACTTCTTCTTCCTCGTCATCCTTGTTTCCACCTTCTTGAGCCATGATTTGTTTGTTGAAATCGTCAATAGAAAAAAATTCATCATTCAATCCAAAAGCATCTTTTTTGACAACTTCATTCTCTTCATCTTGGTTGTCTTGAACTTCACCTTCTTCATCATCTTCACCTGATAAAGGTTCTTCTTCAAAATCATCAACTAATTCCCCTTGTTCATCAATTTCATCGTTACTCTCATACTCGTCCTCATTTAGACGTTCTTGTTCATCTTCTTCACTGTTGTCGCTATCTTCTTCATTGCTTGAAATTTGTTCTTCTAATTCTGAATCTTCAGCATCATCATCACCATTTACACCAAGTGCTGATCCATTCTTGCTTTTCAAAGATGGAATCTTTTCAAATAAAAGAGATTCAGTTGTTGAATCTAAGATGATCTTTGCTTGTGACCAGACTTGTGAAGCATCTAAACCATCGATAAAAATTTCCTCTAAAACTGAATTTCCTTTTGCAATAGGATCGAAAAACTCTTTCACCAAGGCTAATGCATCTGTGCTCTCAACACTTTTATCGAGTATATCCACAGGATCTTTTGCTAATTTTTTAATTATGCCAGACATATTCCATGCACTTAATTGTCCCTGGTTAAATCTCAAGCTTCCGTATATATAGGCTTTTTGAATAATTTGAGATGAGATAAAAAAAATTTTGTACACATTATTTTTTTTCGGATGGGCCACGAAATATAGGTAGGCACACTACTATTAAAGTCTTCGAGGCACAAAAACATTTTATTAAAAACATTGTAAACCATTTTATGGTCAATGAGCGGGTATGTATCTATAAATAAAAGGTCAATGATATTTTTTTGGAAGCTCTAGAGATTCTCAAAGTTTATCCCCCCCTGGTGAAGTGTATCAAGTTAATAAATGATCGCAGCTCCAATACCAACAATTGACAAGATTGCACTGAAGACAATTAAACAATGACAAAAGATCTTTTCTCTTTGTGATACAGTGTCACGACAGATGGATAGATAGAATGATGCAGGTAAGATAAGACATAGTAAGAAACATAAACCTGCACCCATGAATGCAATGATTTTATCAAACTCAGGGAATAAAATTGCAACAAAGACAAACATTGCATTAACCATAAATCTGATGAAAATCTTTAATCCTGAATTAAAGTAGTACTTAACGCCAGTTAAGTTTGAAATCTCTTGTAAGTTAAACATGTGGTCAAAAATGGCAATGATTGGTCTAGCATTTAATGGAGTTTTGGAGAAAGGAACGATTGCCATCAATGAACAAATAACAATATATGTCCACTTTGGATAACCAGTTGTTAATAAGACAGATTTTGTGATCTCTTCTTTAACATTTCCACCAAACATCAAAAACCCTATGACAGCCATTGACATATCTGTCAAATAGGTGACACCATACGTAGTTATCAAACAATCTTGAAATTTATGAGGATGTCTCATATCAACCTTCAAATTTGGGAAAATAGCATGGCCTCCAAAAGGTGCCATCAATATACCAATAGCAATAAGCCCATCTGCAAAAGTTTCAGGATATAGATTAGTTGGAGCAAATTGAATCAATGAACCTGGACTATCTGCTTTCAAAAATCCAGAAATGAAGATTATAACAACAACACTAATTGTACTTGTGATCCCAAACAAACTAATCAAACTTAAAACGTTCAAAGGTAAAAATGAAGGTGGTGATAATAAAAAAAAGGCTAAAATTTTGAAATGGTTTATTGGGATACTTGGAATCAAGGCATTCAAAGAATCTGCAAATAAAACAATTAATGAAACTCCACTCGCTAGAAGATCTAACGAGAACAATAAGGAAATTAAACTTCTTCCTTTTGGACCAAAAGTAACATAAGCCAAATCAGAGTAGGTCATTAAAGTAGGATCAGTATCCATACATTTTGATAATAAATCCGCAGAGTAAAAAGTTAATAATGCACATAATGATAAAGCAGGAACACCAATCACCCAACCAGCATGTCTTAAACCTAAGGGTAAAGCTAATAAACCAATACCAATCAAGACATTAACACTATTGAAAATGGTTTGAGGGGCAGTTGATTGTCCTGCAATAACGGTAACAACTTTACCTTTTGTTTCAACTTTTTTCAAAACTAATGGTGTAGATTCAGTAAAGTCAGCAAAGCTAGAGTCATGATCTTGAACAGCTCCATATGAATAGACGGAAGGGGTGCCTCTAAAAGAGTGTGTAATAAAAGAGGAAGAATCATCAACGGCTTCATAATCACCTGGTTCATCAATTTGATTTATATCTTCATTACTACTTCTATTTCTTAAGTAGTCAAAATCACCTCTTTGCAAAACAGTTGAAAGACGATCACCTTGTTGTGATGGAGCCAATGTATCAGGATCGTATAACTCGTCATCATCTTTGAAATATGATCTTGGATTCCCATGAATTGGCTCAATAGTTCTGAAAGATTGAGCCCTGCTAAAGGAAGAAGCAAAACGACCTAGAGAGTTGACACCTTTGAATGAACCTATTGGGTTGTTGAGGACAGAGTCTCTTCTAATTCTGACAGAGTGAGGTGTTCTAGCGACTGGAATGGAAATGTAACTTTCTTGATTTTGAATTGGCATTGGCATGGTGATTGTCCAGGGTATCGAGGAATCAAAACAACAGACTTAGTTAAGCAGGGACAGCTGGTGAAGAGGCAAGCTGAAAGGATGGAATGTGGTGGAGAGACCAAAATTGGTATTGGTTCCAGGTTACAGAGAAGTGAGGAAGGAGTTGGAAATGCTGTTGATGGGTGGTGCCGATGTGTCGATGTTGTTGATGAGTGTTTTTTTATCATTTTCGTTATCAAAAACATAAACAAACGAAATTTCACTAGGCACGAATCGCCGCACAAAACAAAGAAACCCTAAGCACTCAGTATATAAATAGAATAAAGTGTCGAATCTCAGTATTGCAATTCATCAGATGAGAAAAATGTCTATTTTAAAGCTTGAGGATATTTATTCAGAGTGTTCTCCTGTTTTAGTGTTAAAATGCACTTTTGGAATGCTGATTTTGATTCTCGACTTCGCTACACTTTGTATTACAAAATCAAAAACAGCATTTATAAGATAAATTAGCAGAATCGTACCCTTCTTAACAAGTAGTATAGTACAGAATTTATTCACATTTTCAAGAAAAAAACACTCAAGATTGAAAAGGGACTTTTTATATCCTCATTTTCCTCTTCACAATCATCAGCCTCAAGACACCAAATATTCACCAAGCTATGTAAGATTGATTGAATACTAACTCTCAGTATGGATTGAATCTACCCCTACCTCTGAATCTACCTCTGAAACCACCTCTTCCTCTTCCCCTACCTCTACCACGGTTGAAACCTGGGACATTGGTTCTTTTTGGGACGACCTTCAAGTTTCTACCTCTAAAAACAGAATCATTCAGAACTAATGAGCTGACGACTGAAGCTGGTTCAGCAAACTCGATATAGGCGAAACCCTTTGGTTGACCAGTGAATTTATTCAACAAGATAGTAACTCTGTTGATGACACCAACAGATTGGAAATGTTTTTGTAGCTCTTCGGGACTGGAATCATAATCAACATTACCAACGTATACTGAACGAGCATCAACATCTGATTTTTCTTCCTGAGTTTCACTTTCTTGTTTAGCTAGATCTGCATGTAGTTCACGTAGCTTAGCAGCTTCTTCAGCGTTGATTTTGGAGGCCTCGTCAAGGGCCTCAGTTGAAGGTTGAGCAATCAAAACACCACTAGTGAGTTTAGGGGTGGCATCTGTAGCGTTTGGAGTAGATTCTATTGGTTTCTCTTCAGACATCTTTGATCTCTTTTTGCTTGGTCTCCTTCTTTATGAATTGCAGACAAAGTTGTTCAATTGACTGGCACCTTGAGTTCTAATGATGGGTATTCGCTGAGGCGGCTGTTCCGTTGGGTATGAAGCGCTGTCCTTTTGGCGAGTAGAGTATAGCGTGCCACACGTTGCGTTGTAGTCCTTGAACCTCAACAGCGATGCACTTGGTCTTCTCACGAATTTTTGCAAACTTGATTTGGGCTGCACAAGTGCCACGACACGGCAGGTCGCGAAGCACCAGCACCAGCGATAACAAGCATCGAAAGAGAGAGCACATCCAGAGAGACTGGTCAGAAGGGCTCCATCACTTCACACGACAGCGCTTGAGGTCTGGCGCATACTTAGGGATACTCAAGAGAGAGTGTGTTTGGAAGCTGAGTTAACCGCTGAATCACACTATCAGAACCAAAAACTCAGAGACTGAATCATCAAGAAGCAGCAACCTAGACAAACTCAATTTACTATACAACAACAATTAACTACACAGCTTGACATTCAATTAACTATACCCTTTTGGTGTTCAATATTAGATGCTGGCATTCACAAAGCTTATACCGTTTTCACTTTTCTTTTGGATAATAACCTCTACCAATGCTTCAAAAATCAACAATGAAGAAGAGGTCACAACAACAGTTGTTGATATTCTATCAGAGAATGTGGAGTTTTCAAGCTTTCTAAGGCTTCTTCAAAGAAATCAATTGATTCCGTTCTTGAATGAAGTGGATAATATCACATTGGTTGCCCCAGTGAATTCAGCTTTTGTGGCAAATTGCACTACAAAAGATTGCAAAACAGTTGTCAAGGATTTTTCTTTGGATGATTTGAAAAGGTATATTATAGATGTGCCGTTACTTGCCGATGATTTCGATGGTGTTAGAATATTGAAAAGCTTTCATAAAAAAGGTTCACCGGTTCTTGTTGATCTAGACCAAAAAGAACATTCTTTTCTCATAAATACACTTCATGTTGTGGAACAAGATTTAATTGCTGATTCACAAGATTCCGTTGTTCAAGGAATTGAAAAATTATTCGATGCTCCAAAATCAACCATAGAAACCCTGGAAAGAATACCCAGTGTTTCAATATTGCAAAAATTTCTTCAAAATATCTATGAAATTGAAAATCAAACCTTATTAGTCCCTAGAGATCATTCATTCAAACTCAAGGATTATGAATTGAACTACCTTTACTCAGATTATGGAACCACTGATGCTTTATATATAATCAATTCTCTAATACTCAATGGAACATACGGTGGTGATATCAATGAAAATATCGTGGATAATAATGGATTTGAAATGTCAATTACATCAAAGGATAAAGGTGCTCATATTTCCATAAATGATTCAATCATATCTGACCAATCAAATATTCTGTCAGAAAGCTCAATAATCCATATCTTTGATGATAACTCATTGATACCCAAGATTGAGTTCAACCCTTTAAAAGTCATGATTGGTTTGAACTCTTCCCAGCTTGTTGATGAATTGCTTTTACAAAAATTATCAAGCTTAATCACCAACAATTCAATTTCACAAACAATATTCATACCCACAGATCCAAATCAATTTGCAATAGCTTCAAAAAACTCAAACTTATATCATTTCGTTGATGAAAAAATTAAGAATTTGACAAGTTCAAAAACTCTATACAATTCAAAGTTTTGTAACTCAAAAAAATTAGGTCAACAATGTCAAAGAATTAAAGTTGAAGAAAATGACAAGAATCAGATATTATTAAACGATAATATAATTGTTGAAAAAGGCCCATTTAAAGTAGGTGAAACATTGATTTATTTAACAGATGAAGATTTGAGAACACCAAATGAGATTTCATCTTCAATTAGATCAGTTTTACATTGCTCCACCTCTTTGAAAATGATGCAAAAATCTGGTCTATTGAAACTTTCAAACAATGGTTTAGGTTATACTTTTTTCCTACCTTGTTATGATGCCTGGGATGACTTTGAATTAACAATGAATTATTTCGAAACAAATAAAACTGCACTGGATGAGTTGATGAAAAACTTCGTTTTGAATGGACTAATTTATACTGATTTGAAAACTGAAAAGACTGAGCTATCTAACATGAATGGTGAAAAAGTATTGATAACAAATAAAAACAAGAACAATGATGACGAAAAATTGAGTTTGAAGTATAATAATATTGATATCTGTTTGACCAAAAATGATGATATACTATTCAATCAAGGTGTTGTTCATCCAATAGAGACTCTTTTTTTCCCTGAAAACGCTGATATTTCACTTCAAAAAATCATTAGTTCATCTGATTCTGAATTGTTTTTAAAATTTGCAAGTTTTTTCCCAGAAATTGAAAGTGCATTAAATTTGAAAAATTATTCAATTTTATTACCTTCTCAGGCTTCCTTAGAGAAAATTGGCTCTTTTGACTCAAATACAACTTTGGAAAAGTTTTTGAAACTTCATATAATTCACCCGTCATCCTTGAAGAGTTTATATGATTGTTCATCTGGTTCAGGTATACAAACTCTAGCTGAAAACATCAATTTAACTTGCTCAAAAATATCAGGCCATCGTGATACCTTTCTTCAAATAGATGGTGGTGCAGATAACGGTGTCAGAATTTTGAGCCGCGGTTGTACCGATAGTGAAAGCTATAATTGTGTCTTTGCAATTGATAGACCAATTTCTCTTTCTTGGTTGGATAACCATCAACATTATCATCTAAATTTACCAGGTGTTGCTTTGGCTATTGGGGTGATGATGGGTATTGTTGTTATGATTTTCGTTTTCGTTTGTTTAATGCTTTTCGTTGCAAGAAAAAAGAAGAGTTTTATGACAGGTGTTGAACAAGGGGACGCTAATAACAACGAATCAACTGAAAATGATCCACTCTTAGCAGATCAAAATGGAGTCCAGTATACAAGCAATGACGAGGAAAGAAATGGGCGGACAAACTTTGAAAACCAATATTCAAATACGTTTGTTAATCCAATATCTGTCAGCTCCAAAAGGTCAAATCAAAATAATGTTCAAATTGGATGAGCAGCACGAAAAATATATGAAATACGTTTTAAATGTCATTACACGTATTTATTGCATTAATCTTAAATCAACTTTCTATATATAACCATATAACTTGAGTTCGTCTTTCTCGAAAACCATTAAACTTTGTTCAAGTGTCTATTTGCAAACATTTCACAGATACCAGAATAATGTCCCCAGATCCCAAGAACCACAAAAACATGCCAAATGTTGTGAGAAGACATGAAGTAATCAATCCACCAAAGAGATGTTAAAGAGTTGTTTTTACTCAATGGTGGTGATTCCTTGAAATGTGTATCAATATTTTCTAGTAGTTCTTCAGATTCCAATTGCTCTTCTTCTGGTTGAAAGTCTGCGACAATAACGTCGGATCTGAACTTTTCTGGAATTAGTGTACCATAAAACACAACACCAACCAAATACCAAACCAAACTTCTTGAGATTGGTAGATAAAATAATAAAGCATGTTTCAAACCTCTTTGTAAAGCCAAACAAACAAAAGCTGATACACCTAAACCAGACAGAGCAATGAAAAATCCAATTCTTAGCCAACGGCTTTCAGGGCGATCAAAATGTGAAGACCAATTGAAAAAAAACCCAATAATACCACAAATCATGGAGAACGAAATTAAACCAACTTTCAGAATTGGGAAATAATAAAGTGCTGCATATTCAGTAGTGATGATTGATGCAGTAATTAAGACAGTGATACCAGTATAATCGATACACGCAAATTTCTTTCTCAAGTAAAGATTTGCTGTACCATTGAAAGTGTGCCAAAATGTTGATGATAACAGACATTTGATACTTGCAATCAAAAACAGATAAATGACAGCATTATCAGCAAATGTATTATTTTTGAACAAGTCCTTGTTTGGAAATTGAACAAAGCAAACATATAGAAAGAAGAAAGCACCTAGTAAATGACTCCAAATGTTTGTAGTTTCATTATGACAAGAACAAATACTTTTTAAAGCATTTGCATGGTTATTTTGAAATCTGTAACCATAGACAATATATTTGTTTTCTCTCCAAGGGAAAGGAAGCTCATAATAATGTAATAATCTAGAAGTACCTTGTGAAATAGCACGTTCATAATTGTAAAATTTGATATTAAAGCTTCTTATAGAAGATGTAATGTTATCTTCTGGTGTTGTTACTGTTGTTGCTTCATCTGCAAAAAAAGCTTTGGCTTCACCTTCCATCAAAGAATTGAATTGATTAATCTTCGCATCTAAAAAATGTAAACCTGTTAAAAGTTTTTCATGAAATCCAAGGTTCTCCGATGCATTAATAGATGAAAGAAGGTGTCCATAATGTTCATCCAAAATCTTGTTGAAATTTTCAAGGTTGACAGATTTTGTGAAAACAGAATTTTTGATAGTGATTAATGTATCATAAAGGTTTTGAAGTGTTGCAACAGCTTCATCATTTCCAAGTGGTCTTTTCTCATCGCCTAGTTTATTTCCAGGGGTGAAGAAACTTTCAACTCTGTCTAACTTAGTCTCTATTGAAGATATGAATTTATCAATACGACCGAGCAAATCATTCTCCATTGAATTTTCTTCAGCTATTCTATTGATCGAGCAAGAAGATGAATGGGCACTTCTCAATAGTGTTAGATCATCATTGATTAAACTTGATTTTTTGGATCTGTGAGTCAAGGTTGAACCCATTTCTGTGCTTGACATCTTGGTAGTTGTTCAAATCGGAAGAGCCTTGAAGGTGAAGTGGATTTGAAGTTTGGAAAACAATGTTGGGTTGATGTATTTTTTTTTACCTCCTATTTCTCCAAGGACATAAATTGTAATCTGGGTGTACACAATGATGGACAGGCTTTCTTGATAAATGTCAGATGCTGAGCCTTGTTGGAACGCTTTCTCAATGTAATCTCAAAGTACGAGTTTATTGTAGATGAAAGGAGTGGGTGATACTGGAAACGCTTTTGTTTTCTAGAGGGAACGTGATACGCTAATAAATTTTGGATCAATCAGACGTTGTAGAGGGCTTTTTCTTTGGCGAAAAAAAAAAAAAGTGTGGCCTTGGGAATTTAAAAAATCTATCAAAAAAAATTGTTTATAGTAGAGCTCACTTTACAGGTCTGAACTCCTAATAAAGCACAAAATCATGCCTATCAATCAACCGTCAAATCAGATCAAGCTCACAAATGTGTCCCTAGTGCGCATGAAAAAGGGTAAAAAGAGGTTCGAGATTGCCTGCTACCAAAACAAAGTCCAGGATTGGAGATCTAATGTGTAAGTAATCATGAAAAGCTATTTGGAGAATTCAATATCACTAACATCTCTTATTATTCAGTGAAAAAGATTTGGACGAAGTTCTTCAAATACCACAAGTATTTCTGAATGTATCTAAGGGTCAAGTTGCTCCAAATGAGGATTTACAAAAAAGTTTTGGGTCTACAGATACAGATAAAATCATACTAGAAATATTACAGAAAGGTGAAATTCAATTAAGTGAAAAAGAGAGACAGGCAAAAGGTAATCAAGTACAAGCTGAAATCTTGCAACTTATATCTACGAAATGTATCAACCCTAGAACAAAGAAAAGATATCCGCCAACAATGATCCAAAAGGCATTAGTAGAATTGAAATACAATACAGTGGCTACCAAACCTGCAAAACTACAAGCATTGGAGGCTATCAAATTGCTTGTTTCTAAACAAATAATACCAATAGTCAGAGCCAAAATGAAAATTAAAATTGTGTTAGAATCAAAAGATGCCAAAAAATTATCTGATAAAATTAAGCCACTTCTTGGTGATGTTGAAAGTGAAGATTCTGGTAAACTTTGGGAAGTGATCTCTTACATCGATCCTGTTAACTATAGAGAATTGGTAGAAATTGTTGGAAACCACAAGTCTGGTCAATTGGAAGTGCTTGATATGGCCGTTATTGATGAAAATGATAAATAGACTTCTACAATTTCAATTTTTCATTTATTTTATTATTATTGGCTCTCATTGCACCTTTTTATGAGGTCCAAAACTAGTAGCAATCGATCAAAATCTTCTTTATCTGATTCTTTTGATTTGAAAATTTTTGAACTAACTGATATTATCAGCCCTCTAGTTTCATTTGATGTATAAACGAGCTTCGCAATATGATTTACTATAACTGATAGTTTAATATTTGAATTGTCCCCTAATAAACATGTTTTCTCACAAGAAAAGTCGCTGGAATTTGTTGAATTTGAAATGATATCGTATAGAGATTTTGAATCTGGTGCTTGAACATCGAACGTTGAATCGATTTCTCCATTGTATTTCACATAAATTATCTTTTTATCAACGAAGTCAACTGTTTGAACGCTTATCTGATCTCCATTTTCCAATGTGTTGTGAATTTCTTTGACGGATTTGTTAAAACTAGACATTTAATTAATGAAAGTCAACTAATTGGTGATTATCAAAAATTTCAATGTTTGGTCCAAAGTGAATCAATCGGCTTTTTATTTTTTTATTTTGGTTTTGAAGAAAATCCGGCTTTTTTCAACTTTAAGGTCCCAGAAGGTTATGGGCATTGGCCCTTGGGCGTTTTTGTGTTTTTTGTGAGCCTCTAACCACAAAAGCACAATAAGTGGTTTTTAACTAAAAAAATGAACAACTGAAACCTTCAGCCACTATGGTCGACAATAGGGAAGATATATCGCTATCAACTGACCTACACTCAAGCCAGTCTGCACACCTAGTTCCAAAAGAAGGAGATCCAATTCTAAAATATTCCAAGCCCACCCAACTATGGTATTCAGTTTCTTCAACAGTTTGCACAACATTCTTTTTGTCAATTTTATTGATTTTTGCCTTAGTTCAATATGTTATAAACAGTTTGCTCCATAGAAAGTCATCTCAAATAGAACATGTGTATCGGTCAAAGCAAGAATTGAAACTTGTCCCTGATTTGAATTATTACTATCAATTTTTTGATCTTCAAGTGAATAAATATGAAGTTGTTACTAAAGATGGGTTCGTTTTAATGATGCAAAGAATCATTCATCCTTTTGAATCACTTTCTGAGCGGAAACAGAGGAAACCTATATTGTTACTTCATGGATTGCTTCAATCATCTGGTTCCTTTTGCTCTAGTGGGAAAGAATCTTTGGCTTATTATTTATTCAAAAATGGATATGATGTCTGGTTAGGCAACAATAGGTGTGGATTTGAGCCTAGACATTTATTTTTAGACCCAAATGATTACAACATGTGGAATTGGGACATTGTTGATATGGCTCAGTATGACTTAACTGCAATGATAGATCATGTTCTAAATAATTCAGACTCACAGCAGCCTAAGCTGTCACTGATATGTCATTCTCAAGGGACAACACAAGGATTTATCACTTTGGATAGTGATAGATTTCAAATTTCTCATAAAATCAATTGTTTTGTTGCCTTATCACCTGCTGTTTATGGTGGATCACTACTGGAGGAAAAGCTTTTCATTAAAGTTATTGCAAAAATGTCATTGAAAAAATTCTTTTTCGGTATCAAATCCTTTTTACCTATCATGATGCATATGAGAAACCTTTTGATTCAAACCAAGCTATTTGGGTTTTTAAGTTATACAATGTTTAACTATCTTTTTGACTGGACTGATAAATTATGGGATAATGATATAAAGTATCGTCATTTCTTGTTTTCACCAGTATACGTTAGTGTGAAGTTAATGTCATGGTGGTTAAATGACAAAAATGGATTCAAATCATCAAAAGCCATCCTTGAGGATGACAAACGTTGGTTCAATGAGAACACACCTGCTATATTTCTGGTGATTCCAAGGAAAGATAAACTTGTTGATGGTGCAGCTTTGGTTAAACATATGGTTGAAGTGGAGGAAACTAATAAATTTGACCTCATATATTTAGATGAGTACTCACATTTGGATGTCCTATGGTCTAAAACTGTTCTAAATGATGTCGGAAAACCAATTGTGGACTTTCTTCAAAAATTTTCTTAAGAAAAAATAAATGCATTGATTCATTTATATACAAGTAAACCCAGAGGTTGAACTCGACATTCTCAAATTCGAAAATACACGAGCAGGCAGTGACACATAACAAATCCTTCTGAAAAAAGAGAGCAAAACCATAAACGACTAGCAAATAAACGGAAATAGTGCCAGAACATCGCAAAAAGTGCAAAAATAGGGCCAAATGGATTGAAAGAGTCCAAAAGCAGCTCCATAGAAAAATAAAATACTCGATCAGTACGGATTGACGATTTCTAGTCTATTTTTATAGGTAAAACCCATTCTCCCATAAAAGAGGCAGTTAGAACTGTTTTTGAGTTTGATAAAATGTTTACACACCAAACTTTGAGCGCCCACATCTGAGCTAACCATTCAAAGGCCAAGCTTGAAACCTTCTAATCAATATTCAAAGCGATCACTAGTCTCATAACTTTCAGGGTATACAAAGCCACAACATCCAACAGCTGAAAACATGCACTTAACCAGAGTCCCGAAATTGTCTCCTGGTCAACACCCTTGTTCCACTTGACAACAGTTGTTCCCCTTAACCCCAGTCGTCTCCCTTGACTCCTGTTGTTTCCCTTCACTACACCGGTCTCCCTTGACTCCAGTTGTTTCCCTTGACTTCACCGGTTCCCCTTGACTTCAATTATAACCCCCAACATCGGTTGTTCCAGTGATGTACAAAATGATTTAAGGATAAGGTTCAATATACGGCTCTATAAAAGAAAAAGTAGAGTTTATTACTGGTGTTGTACGGCTTCGTCACTATTATGCTATTTTAATCTTTTTTGACCACGCTGACTAAAGCCCAATGTATATTCGAGCCGTAAAGACGCTCTTTAGAGCTGATTTCAAGCGCAATATTTTACTTCTTGTCAGACTATTAACATGATATACCCCATGCCTTCTTGTTGCAACTGACCCAAGGCGCTCAAGCTTGTATTATTTGTAAGTTAGCACAAATCTCAAACATTCCAGCAGTAAGCTTTGTGATGTTTAGTGCAATCTCTGAAGTAATTGGTTAGCTCAGTTGTCACCTGTGGAAACGGATATCACCTGTGGAAACAGTTTCTCCATTAATATCTAGGGAAATTTGTTTCTCCAGTAATATCTATGGCAATCTGTCTCTCGAGTTATATCTGTGGCAAAACTGTTCCTCAAGTTGTAACACTAGCAACTGTTACGTAGGTTGTTTCTCTGGTGAGGTACCATTCAGTTTCCCAAGCTATAGTCGATGCAACACCCCCGAAGTCTTACTGTAACGGATGTGCTCGCGTAACTGTTAGATTCATGCAGACTTCTCTATATTCTAAAAGATGGGATGATTCTTCTTCACCTTTTTACAACTCCGCCCTACCAAAACACCTGAAATCACAACACAAAATCAAGAAGTCAAGCGCTTTTTGATATAAAACTTGAAGAGCAACTAACGTCGTACAGCGATATCGCAGTCATGTGGAGGTGAACCGAACCCAATATCACCAAAGCTTTACCAAGATTGCTATCCTTCTAATATCTTGATCAATGTTCATCCGTTATGGTTTTAGTCGCATGATCAACAACCAGGAGCTGAAAATATGCACTAACCAGATTCGCGACATTGTTCCCCGTCAATGTCCTTGTTACTCTTGAAAGCGCCCATTTCTCATGACAACAGTTGTTCCCCTTAACTTCAGTCGTCTCCCTTGGCTCCAGTTATTTCCCTTCACTACACTGGTCTCCCTTGACTCCAGTTGTTTCCCTTGACTTCAGCGGTTCCCCTTGACTTCAACTATAACCCCCAACATCGGTTGTTCCAGTGATGGCTCCCAGGACACACGTAGTAACAGTAACAGCTCGGGAAATTTGTCAAATTCGCCAGCATACGTAATTTTAGATCTTATTTCTTTCATTAGTACCACGGTACTTGTACATATGTAGAGGCTTTCATAAATTCTTTGTGTTTTATACAAATCTGAATCTGACTAAAATATCCATTAGACTTTTTTTATTACATTTATTAATTATTAGTGGATCCCCATCTGTCATATGGCTCTAAAAGTTATATGATTTGGATACCAACTTTAACGTGTTGTATCTGCGGCGCATTGTTGTTGAGGAATTTTAAAGATGTTCTCCAGGAGATCTCCCGGGAACATGTTGTCAAAGACAGATATGTATATATGTAGCGAAGGGTACCAAATAGCCTTCAATATATGTGCCATAGAAATTGTTTGGAGCGAAATCTATTTGAATTGCGAACAGAAATTACGATTTGGCATTTTTGTTGTCTTGTTGTTAATCAACTGTCGTTGGCCAGGTGAGCGAAGATATCCCTTCTAATTTTAACTTTGTATTTCATATAATATCCTGTTAATTGCTACTTTTGATGCCACCTACGTTTTCAGATGTTTTCAAGAGGGATGTCTTTTCATTTAATTACAAGAAAAAACGAGAGGGTGCACATGCACTGATTACGTTTTTTTATCGGGAATTGTGCTGTGTGCTCTATTGTTTTGTTATATAAGGCTATGAGTGAAGTGTTTCAGATGAAGGGCTTAACTTCTATATCCCTTGATATGATTGAAATGGGTATACGGTTTGAGTCTGTGGTTTTTCATGGTTTGGTTATTTGTTTGATAAGAATTTATTTCTCTTTTCCTTCTGTAAGCTTACAAAGGCCTTTAGAAGATTTTCTCAATTTCGCAGTCTCATTTATATATATACATGACGCTTTTTATTTTTTGCTTCTGATGAACGACTTAAATAGGTTAGAATTAGAATGACATGTTTTATTTAGTGTTCGTAATATTCAGTTTATTACATTATAACCACTAGTCTATCGAGGGCATGTGTTTATTGTGAGTTTTTATGACCCTCTCAACATTTAGTGTGAACTTTTGTGGAGGGTACTAGAGCTTTTTTCCTATTTCCTCAACGTCTTCACCAGCAGAAGAGCATTGGTATCTATCTAACTTATAATTCTTGTATACGAGTTTGGTGGAGTGAAATTTGTTTTGGTTTGGTACCAAGAGTCACAAAGGAATCAAAGCGTCATGAATGAAAAAATATGTTGTATGAATTTCAATTTATCAATTTGGGGTCGAAGAGCACTGGGGAGAGATTCTCATAGTAAACCTGATGTTTGATCCATTTATTCAATCTTTGGTCTCTTTATTTTGCCATAAATACTGGTTTCCAATAGATATATGGGCTTCCAGATGAAACAATAAAATTATTATTGGGCCTGTAGTGATAGTGATAGAATATCAATGCATTGTTCAGTGACCATGTAGCTTGAATCAACCTTTGTTGGGCATTTTTGACTCCAAAGTCTGAATATCTGATCTAGGATGCCTCCATTTAATTTTGAGTGTTCCAAAGCTTGACTTATAATGGTTGAGAAAACAGTATACTGAAAGGATTTGCAATGGTAGAAATGCTGAAGATTGTCTCTGTCATCCATAATCTGGAGTCTGGTGGTGCTGTTTATTTGCCTTCCAAATTCACAAATTCATGTCATTTGAAGTTTAGTTGTCTTTGTGGTCTTTTTTAGCTTTTTTGTGGCTTTCGAATTAAGCGAGCTGAGTGACGTAAAAAATCAAACCAAACCAAAGCAAAAAAAAAAAAAAAGCCAGGGAAAAAAAAATGTGTACAAGGAAAAAAAATGTCATGGAACTAAAAAATATTTTTTGGAGATCTAACAAGTGAAATTTTGTATTTATAAAAAGATGTTCTTTCTCTTTTGAGGTTTTCCATCTTCTATTGTCATTTCACTATTGATTTTGACTTTATTTAACAGCTAATAGGTGTTTTGTTAACAATGAGCTACGAAGACACCAACAACTATACAGACCCAATATCACAACAGGAAGCTCAACAATTCGCGGACAAAGATATTCTTGTTGAAAGATTGATTGGTACTTTGAAAGAAGTACTACCAGAACCTCCTTTACGGAATCAACCATTACAAACAGAGTTTGCGGAAGCTACATTGAAAAGATCCAAAAGAAAATCAAAGTTTACAAGAGAACAGGATGAAATGATTGTTGACCTCAAAAGCAAAGGGAAGTCATGGATTGATATTGCACAAATCACGGGAGTAGGAAGTTTTTTAGCTGCACGGAATAGATACCAAGTACTTATTGGACAACAAGGTGTTGGATCTTCAGTTTGGGGTACTGTTGATTCTCAAAATTTGCAAAATCTCGTTGATGAAGGTGAACTTGAGAAATGGAGATTCATTGCAAGGGAAATGTATAAGTTGACAGGTAAATCTTTCACAGATGCCCAATGTCGTGAACTAATCCGTGAATTGTTTCTTGAAGATCCAACTGAATTTGGGGTTAACGAAGAATCTGTTAGTGAGTATGTTAATTCCAAAGAGCCAATACCTGCACACATTCAAACTCATAATGAAATTCCAAACCCAATCCATGTTCAGCAACATCATATACCAGATCAAAATCAAACCATGCTTTATCACCACCAGCATCAGCATCATCAAGACATGCATCATGACCCAAACCAGAACCATGGTGGATATAATGGGTATTGAAGAGGGAAAGGTTGCTTCAAGTCGTCATGTTATTTCAGTTTTTGTTTTGATCTTTATTTGAGTGTTCTTTATTGTTTCTATGTTCAGGGTGTAATTTTTGGTGTTTTATTAATGTGAAAGTATGTGAAAAGTTGAGTTATATTATATTTAAAATGAATTTATGTTGCATTTGAAAAATTATTCTTTAGCTTTTTATGGTATTTATAATTTGCTGTTTTTTATGTCAACCTTTACTCTGTGAACTTTTATCTGTTAACACGAACATATCGCACAATAAAAATGGAAGGTACGGCCGTACAAATTGTACGGTAAACCATCTTATATACACGTGTGTGTTAACTACTGTACACTGATATTTTGGTGGTCGGATTCTGAAAGTCAAACAATTGAGTATGTCTTCACTGATATGTCTCCACAAGAATCCACTACAACAAACCCTGAGATCTATCCATCTAATAACTAATTTTGTTCGATGGTAGAGCAATACAGCGGTCTTTCAGTAATTTATGTGTAATATTACGTTCGACAGGTCCACTTGGTACAGGATTGAAACCCTCCAGGCCTCAAGTGTATTAAGCTATTTCAAAGCCAAAATCAAAGCCAAAATTCAAGACTACACAAAACACGACAATACTGAAATAAGGTAACATTATGCGCCACGGTCATATATTCTGCCCCAAAATGGATTGGAGAATACCTATTTGAGTTTTCGAATCACGGATTCAGGCGCACTAAAACCAGAGTCGAGTTTAAGGGCGTTTGAATGTTTGAATAGACCGTTGAACAATCACACGTTTTCCGATCGGGCTTTTGAGGAACCAAATTTGTTTACAAAATCCAAACCCACTGAATCCATTCATCTTAATTTTCTTTGAGCAGCCCTTCACCACATATTTAAACTGCAGACAATTCACTATTATCAGCTCAAGCCTCAAGCCAAGCTGAATGGGCTCTACCTAAGAGTTTATTGTTCAAGCTTTTATTTTTCAACGTTCAAGAAAACCCCGAGACCCCATTGTTTACGATTTTCAAGTTTCAACAGTTTTGAAAAAACGTGTCTACAACGTACCTCAAGTATCAACACGTTGTATTTCGGCGAGCTAGCTTCTGCACTACGAGCTCAAGACTACAGCCATTCCAGAGCGTGTTTACGATATCCTCAGAGTTATTACTATTTAGTGGAAGTTAATTGGTGGAAATTGGATGAACAATGTTAAAATAGGAAGGGGTCTTGCATTCATGTGTTTGAAAAACGCTTACCGTGTTTACGAGATCATGATAAACAGATCTACCATATCAAAGAGCTCTAATGTATATAAGACCCCAGAATATCCTATTAGAACTCTCATAATATGATGTTCTAAACAGCGTACTCTTGGTCAATTTTGAAGTCACTCGTTAATTTTCATCATCAAAATAATCAAGATGAGAATCGGTTCCTTACTATGTTTGGCCACTGCTGCTGTCTCTGTTCTTGCTAAGAAAAGAAAGTATGACAACTACAACCCATCAGCTGCTCAAATCGCAATTGATGCGCAAACTGCGCAAACTGCTCACACCACTTCTAACGTTGCTGGTAAAGTTTTCAATAGATTTGTTGTCATTTGGTTGGAAAATACCAATTTTGATAAAGCTGCTGAAAATTCAGATATGGAATGGCTAGCTGCTCAAGGTATCACTTTGGATAATTATTGGGCCATCACACATCCTTCTGAACCAAATTATATGGCTGCTGTTGGTGGTGATTATTTTGCTTTAGATGACGATAGATTTATTTCGTTACCATCGAATGTTTCAACTATTGTTGATTTACTGGACACAAAAGGTATTTCTTGGGCTGAATATCAAGAACACTTACCATATACTGGTTACAATGGATTTGAGTACAAAAATCAACAGACTTTTGGTAATGACTATGTTAGAAAGCACAACCCTTTGGCATTATTTGAATCTGTTAACAAAAATGAAGAAAGGTTACAAAACATCAAGAATTTTACTGTTTTCCAAGAAGATTTAGAGAATGAGAAATTACCACAATGGTCTTTCGTCACTCCAAATATGACAAATGATGGGCATGATTCTAATATTAATGTTGCCTCTTCATGGTCTAGAGATTTTTTGACTCCACTGTTGAATAATGAATATTTCATGAAAGATACATTAATTTTGTTAACTTTTGATGAAAATGAAAACTACAGATTGAAAAACAGAGTTTATGCCGTTTTGTTAGGTGGTGTTATCCCAGAAAATAAGAAAGGTACCATTGACCATACTTTTTATGAGCATTATTCAGAAATTTCAAGTGTTGAAGCTAACTGGGATTTACCAAATTTGGGTCGTAATGATGTTGATGCTAATGTGTTTGATATTGTTGCATCTGCTGTTGGTATTAAAAATGATGAAGTTGATACAACTTACAAAGTTAACAATCAAACCTATATTGGTTATTTAAAAGATGATACCATTGATCTTCCAGCTCCAAATGTCAATGCGGTTGGTAAGAATGGTAGAGGTGTTTTGGATTCAATTTCATCTGTTTGGGCTGATAAATACTCAAGTCAACTTTCAGAGTCATACTTTACTTCAACTACTACAACTGCTGTTTGGAGTATTGGTGATGCTACAACTACAGCTGCAAGTACATCTTCTGCCTCATCTTCTGCTTTATCTTCAAATTCATATTCTTCGGATTCTTCATATTTATCATCTCCAGTATCCTCATCAGTTTCTGTCAGCTCATCTATTGTTTTTTCAAGTGATTTGTCATTAGCTTCATCTACTGGTGAGCTATCTTCATCTTTTTCTTCATCTGTTGAACACTCATCTATTGAGCTTTCAAGTTCAACTTTGTCTGCAACCATGTCAAGCCACAACATTATTCCATCAGCTTCAACTCAAACCTCTGATCTTACCTCATCAACATCTTCTGTTATTGGAACCTCAGGATATTTTAACCACACATCATATATCCTTTCAAGTGCTTCATCAGATTCTTCCATCTTCTCAAGTTCTTTATTAGAGACTTCATCTGCCATCGAGTCTACTGTTTTAATCTCTTCATCATCAATTGATTCATCAGTTCCATCTGTCTCAACCTCTTCATCAGCTTCAACGGTCACAGCGTCTTCTTCATCATCAATTTCATCAACATCATCGACTGCTTATTCCTCTGCATCTTCGCAATCATCATCAGGTTCAACTGCAACCCCAACTGGTCTTGATATTATTACAAACATTGAACTCACAGACGTTAGAACACGTTCATCTAAAGCTTACTTGTATGACTGGTTCAATGTTGCAGTTACATTTGTTAGTCAAGGTTCAATTTCCTCCAACTCTATTGTTCAATTTACTATTCCAAAAGAATTTGTTGGCCCAAAACCTTTAACTTTACGTACATCAAGTGGTCATTTGGATGTTGCTTCAACTAACTTTGATGAAGAGTCAGGTTTATACACTATTGAATTCAATTCATGGGGTTCAAGTAAGAGAAATATCAGAGGTACTTTTGAGTTTACTGTTAGATTATCAAACTCTGCTTTATCAAGTATTCAATTGGGATCCAAATCATTTGATTTCAAGACCGTGTTAAAAACTTTTACAAACACATTAAATTTCTCCAAAATTGATAGAACTCAACCTTGGAAACAAGGTATCTTTAATGGTTTCAATCCAATCTGGCAAATTGAAATTCCTGGATCATTAGGTCCATGGTCTTTTGTTGATATTTCATCAATTTTACAATCATTAAGTGATTACTACTATGATCTTTCATCAATTGTTTTTGAAATTGGTTCTGAATTTGATCAATTCGGTAACATCACTACAAAAAGATCAAGCAATTCACAAGATTATTCTACATCAGGTTCTTCAAGTGGATTAAGTCTTTCATATACTGGTTCAATCAATGTTGATGAAGTTTTGAGAATTACTGTTCCAGGTGTTAAACAAAATGATGTCACTTCATTTTCCAACTCATTTGGTGTCAGCATTAACAATGGTCAATCCAAAAGAGCTGTTGAAGATTATAGTCTTGATGAAACTTTAGATACTGAATCTGTTGCTGTTACAGATGTTGTTACTTCAGATGATGATCCTGCTGCTCCATCAGATGCTTTGAGTTCTGGAGTCACTACACATTCATCTACAAATGTCCCATCATCAGTTATTTCTGCTTCAGCTGTTTCCTCTAGTGCCACTTTAGAAACTTCTTCAACTTCCGTTGGTGTTTCAAGTGGTTTAGGATCAAATTCAACTGATATTGGTGTTTCTACTTCAACTGCATTAATTTCAAATGGTCAAACTACTATTGTGACCATCACTTCATGCTCTGAACACGTTTGTACACAAACAACAGCCAATGCCATTGCTACCGTTGTTACATCTACTATTAACAATGAGATTACTTCATACACAACCTATTGTCCATTGTCCACTTTCACTACTGAATCAAATGGTATAAATGTTGTTGTCACATCCACTGTTACTGGTAATTTGAAACCAAGCTCAGCAGCTGAGACTACTTCAAAGGCTGCAAGTTCAACTGTTGTTGTTGTTCCATCCACAAAATCACCAGTCGCTTCTCCATCATCAACTGCTGGTAAAGGTTCTACTACAACTCCTCAAACAGCTATCAAAAGTACCGCCTCTACTAAAGAGTCCACTTCAGTTGTATCAAACGGTTCTTCTTCAACTGGTGTCAAACTAAGTTCTAATGCTGAAACAACTACCACCGTTTTCACTGGTGTCACCATTATCAAGTCAGGTACTACTTCAGTTTCATCTTCACCAATTGCAACTAGTGTCATCACTACTAGTGATACATCAGGTCTCAATTCTTCAGCAGCAAAGCCATCAGGTTCCTCGGTTGTTGAGATTTCTACATACGCTGCTTCTGCTGTTAAAGTTCAAGTTGGTCAATTCGCCGCCTTGGTTTTCGGTTTGTTCATGTTGTTTTGAAAACACTGACACACTTTTTGATTATATCTTCCATTTACTTTATTTCTGACTTCTAATTTTTCTTCTTTATTCCCTAATTCTTTCCTTCAACTTTATTGTTTTGATTCTACTTTTATTTATTTGCAACTATATATAACCAAGCTTCCAACTATTCAACATTCTGTTTTGAGGCTATTTAAAAGATTTTACACGGTTTATAAACATATCACATTGTAGCAAATTTACGACATTTAGATTCCAAAATTAGCACACCGTGTATTAATTAAAATCATATAATAAAAAGAAAATTTGTAATGGTCTAGCAAAAGCAACTGAAAACACAAGCTATGAATCAAAAATTGAAGCTCTATCAAACAAGGGGGTAATTAAACATTAAAAAAAAAGAATGTGGATTGAACTGTAATTGTAATTAAAATAGCTGGATGATTAAATGGTTAAACCAAGATGATCTATAGTAATTATTTGGAATGACGTATCAATATACAATATAATTTGAGATCTAATCAACATAGAAATCAGTTTCTTCATCAAAGACTCTAGTTGCCTCAGCTCTATTTGAAGCTTGTTCCCAAGGGAAAATAGGTGGGGGAGCTTGATATTCAAATCCATCACCTTCATCTTCATCTTCATTCAAATCAAGATTATCCCATTGATTAATAATTGAATTTGGCAAAGCTAATAAGTGAGCTTCACCTTTATTTGAAAAATCTTCAATTGGTTTAATATTTGAAATTTTAAAAATATCACCTGCAATTTTACCAAAATAATGAGAATTGAAAACTTTCCACCAATTTTTATGAATATTTGTAATAATTTCATAACCTTTACCAAAACTAGTTGACGCAAAAGAATTTGAATCTCTTGTTAGCCAAGGTTTATTCAATCCAATAAAATGTATAATTTTGATATCTTTTGCAAATCTTGTAAAAGCTGGAACATATTGATAACCAGCCGAAGGAGTAACATTAAAAGTAAATGGTAATCTTTTCCATTTCCCCAAGAAATATTCATTTAATAAACCTTGATCAGCACCATCAAATGAAGCCTTATCATCATTTTGAATTAAATGGAATAAATCATTAAAAATTGTTTCAGAAGGTTTTGTAATGAAAACACCAGAATTGAAAATATCAGGCCAACCACTATCAGGGGAAGCTGCAATTAAATCATCATTTTGTAATTCATTGAAAAATTCATCAATATTAACAATTGGTAAAACATCAGAATCTAAATAAATGATTTTAGAATATTGATGCTGAGACCAAACCAAGATTTTTGTAAAAGTTGAAACAAGATCTATTCTACCTAAGGTTGATAATTCATCAAAAGAGGTACTTAAAATTGGATTAACAGGAATCACATCGTCATAAACTTGTTTTAATAGTTCAATTGCCTCGTTAGAGACGTTTGCAACCAAAATTGCCAATTCCTTTGTTGTTCCTAGATCTCTAAGGGATCTGGCTAAGACAAGGGAGCCTGGTAAGTAGTTATCATTGATAAGGATGGTGATGTAGGCTTCAGTCATTGTAATTAGATTGAAGTTGAAGGATTGAAGTTGGAACAAAGTAAACAAACAAATTTCAACAAATGTTTTTATTTTTATTTTATTTTTATTTTCAATCCAGTTTTATCCCTTTTTCGATTTGTTTTGTTTTGTTTTGTTTTGACTGTTTTTTTTTTTTAATCGAAACTGATACGATAAAAACACGGATATTCACGGCTGAGGAGTCTGGGGCGCATATTAAGCGAAAATTGGAAAATTCTACAATTCCAATTCAAATTCAAATACAAATTGGTAATAATTCAAAAGTTCTAAAGTAAGCCAGCTAAAAAAGATAAAAGAGTTCATATTTCCGCCATTTCTCATGGACGTTTATAAATATTGTTTGTAGATCCATTATTTTGTTGTTGAGAAATTGGACCTTGACCAGCTTGTCCTTGTTGGTTTGGAACTTGTGATAAATGGGCACTTGTACGAGCACCTGATGATGCATTTTCTTTTAATGTGGTTAATTGTTTTGATCTGAAGTTTTCATAATGTATAGTTGAAGTAGTTTCTATTAAATCTTGTAAATGAGTTCTTGTTAAGAAATCTCTTAAATAAACAAATTCAGATTGATTTATATCCTCCACATTTATAGTACCCCATCTTGTTCTTCTACCTTTAAAAGCTTCACCATTAATTGTAATTTCATTTTCTGAACCAATAACTGCAAATGGGATTATTGATTTAATACTTTCATTTAATTCTTTTTCTTCATCTAATAAATCTTCAGAATTATAAGGATATAAATTTAAATTATGATATTGGAATTCAGTTTGTAAAATTTTTCTAAAATTTTCACGTTCATCTAAAGTTAAAGTATCAGCTTTTGAAATAATTGGAACAACATTTGCAATTTCACTCAATTTTTTCAAAGCTAAAACATCAACGGCACGTAAACCGACATTATTTGGTTGAATGAAATATAAAACGACATGAACTCTTGAATCTGAGATGAATTTTTCACGTTGTGCAGTTAATTCTTTTCTTAAATATAAAGAATATTGTTCTTTAATATATCTAACAATTGGTTCCCAACATTTATCATTATTGATTTGATCACCAAAACCTGGAGTGTCAACAACATTGATGTTTAAACGAACGTTATTTTCCACCAATTGATGATGAGAAACTGCAATTTCTGAAGTTTTTGTGATTGGTTCTGAACTTGATTTACGGCCTAAAGAATCAACAAGATGAGAAGAAAATAAAGTATTGATCAAAGTGGATTTACCTAACCCAGAATAACCTTTTGATGTTAGTAATAAGCTATTGGAGAATAACTATTCATATACTTACCAGCAACTAAAATATTGAATTGGAAACCTCTTTTCAACAAACGGTGTTCAATTTGTGTAGTGATTGTGTCGAACCCGACGTAGGAAGATGGCTGAAGAATGTTTTGAGCGACAGACATTGTGAAGTTTTTGTGATTGGGGGGTTGGGGCCTTGATGAATGTACACTGTGTTGATGTGAAGTAGTTGTCAAGATCTTGATTCAAAGAATTCCAACACAAAACGCGTTTCGACTTTTTTTTTTACTTCGGTTTTTGTGTTTTTGATCTGTCCCAATGCGGTAATTGTAGGTCATGTGAAAGATCACGTGAATAGCATTTTTTTTCACGAATTTTGATTTTGATTTCGAGATTTTGATGTTGAAAAATTTGAACAGAATTAAAGGTTTAAAAGGTTACAAGACACAAAACAGTATTCATCATGTCTCTTAGTATTGGTCTAGCAAGAATAGGACTAGCGTTACCACGCTTACCAGAAATCAAGATTGGAATACCGAATCCATTTGCATCACCATCATCATCATCATCATCAGCACAACCATCCCTAAGACAAAAATTACAAGACTATCTAGAGAATAAAAAAGAACAACTTGAAGATGCCTTCTCTATAGATAATGGTATATTAAGAGCAGCACCAAAGCAAAAAGTTTCACCACAAAAGAGAAAGCAAAAATTGTATGGTCCAGGTAGTAAACAATTAAAACATTTACATAATTTAAATCGTTGTCCATCATGTGGACATTATAAAAGAGCACATACATTATGTATGCATTGTGTTTCACAAATTCAAAGGGTTTGGAGAAAAGATTTACATGCAACTGAAAAACCAAAAGTTGTTGAACAAGAATTGGATGAATTAGATAAAAGAATTTTATATCCTGGTAAAGTTGAATCTGAATATTCTAAAATGTTGAAAAAAAGAAGAGAATATGTTGATAGACGTACTAGAACATTACCAGTTGAAAAGAAAAATTGAAAAAAAGGGTAAGAGGACTTGTATATATATGAATAAATGAGTACAAATTAATATCATATGAAAAACTATATTATATATTAAGATCTAACAGTTGTGTAGCGTTGGAAAAAAAGAAGTATCATCACATAATTATACATTTAGCACAAACACCACCTTCAGATTTAGATTCTTTTGGAGCTGGTGCAGATTGTTCTTGTCTAGCTTGTTTATTTTTTGGAGTTTCTGTAGTAGTTGAAGTTTCTTGTTGTTTTGTAGTTTCTGGTTTAGCAGATTTTCCTTCACCAGTAGTGGCAGCAGCAGCAGCACCAGTTGTAGTTGTAGATGATTTACCAAATTTCTTAACAGTAGTGTAGAAAGAAGAACCTTGAGTAGAAGCGATTTCCAATTCTAAATCAGATGGAGTTCTTGAACCATCACCACCGGCAAAAGTACCAGCACCCCATGGAGAACCACCATGGATTTCATCCAAATTGGTTAATAATGGGAAAGTGTTTTTATAACCTAATGGGACATAGATTATACCATGATGGGTTAAGATTGACAAGATGTTTCTAATAGTCATTTCTTGACCACCACCTGGAGTACCAGTTGAGACGAAAACACCAGCAACTTTACCATATAGGGCACCACTAGCCCATAGAGCACCAGTGGCATCCCAAAAAGCAGACCATTGAGCAGGTAAAGTACCATATCTTGTTGGGATACCAAAGATGAAAGCATCGTATTGTTCCAAAGTTTCAGTAGTTGCAATTGGGATATCAACAGGTTTTGGAGGAGCATGAATTAAGGCTAAAACATCATCACTTAGGGTTTCAGGGACTTGGAACAAATCAGCTTCACCACCAGCTTGTTGGACCCCCTTTTGGACGCTTTTGGCGAGGGTGTAGACGTGACCGTAGGTAGAGTATGAGATGATAGCGATCTTGACCATTGTGAGCTTGGGTGCAATTGAGTAGAGAAGAGTAGAAGGAAAGGAAAGGCTCAGAGGCTATATACACAGCTCAGCATTGCTGACACACGATTTGTGAGCATTAGTCAGTGGTACGCGCACGCGCAGAGCCTGAGCCTAATCTGGGCAGGATTACAAAGAGCTTGTCAGCCCAAATGACAAATGCTTACACACCCGTTAGCAGCACTGGCCCACCAGCCAATATATAAACATATGTCCACGTCCTCAGATCCCAACAACCTCCATCAACAACTCCCATATCATCAACTCCATACACAATGGCTCCAAAAGTTGCAATCATCATCTACACCCTATACGGCCACGTCGCCAAACTAGCTGAAGCTGAAAAAGCTGGTGTCGAAAAAGCCGGTGGTCAAGCTGACATCTACCAAGTTCCTGAAACTTTGAGTGATGATGTCTTGAAGTTATTACACGCTGGTGCCAAACCAAACTACCCAATTGCCACCCCTGAAACCTTGGAACAATACGATGCCTTCCTTTTCGGTATCCCAACCAGATACGGTAACTTCCCAGCCCAATGGAAAGCCTTCTGGGATTCAACTGGTGGGTTATGGGCTAAAGGTGCTCTATACGGTAAAGTTGCTGGTGTTTTCGTCTCAACTGGTACTCCAGGTGGTGGTCAAGAAGTTACCATTGTTAACTCATTATCCACTTTAGCTCACCATGGTATCATCTATGTTCCATTAGGTTACAAAAACGCCTTCCCATTATTAACTAACTTGGAAGAAGTTCATGGTGGTTCTCCATGGGGTGCTGGTTCATTTGCCGGTGGTGATGGTTCAAGAACTGCTTCTAAATTAGAATTGGAAGTTGCTGAAATCCAAGGTTCTTCTTTCTACGAAACTATTTTAAAATTTTAAGAAAGTTGATATGAAATAAATAGCTTAGAATATACAATTTATCTAGACGGTAATATTAAAGTTGTAGTGTACTTTTGAACAGTTCGGTGAAGACACGATCTTCTCTATGTGTTTTTTCTTGACCTTCTCGAAAAAAAAAACCATGCTTGATCAAAACTTCAAGAAAGCAATAGACATCAAACACCAACAAAAGTTTCTAATAAAGAATAGATATTCCAAAGATGAGTAATATATTGGATCAATTACTAGTGGAGGATGTAAGTGCATTGGGAAATGTTCTTGTGGTTCCCCAAAGAAACTATAAAGAAATGACTTTCCAAACTACCATATCCACCAGCAAAGAAAACTAACACTTTTATACTTAGATTGCAAGATATTGTCCTCAAAACTTTTTAAACTTCCATAAATGTATCTCACAAAACCATGCAAACCCACAAAATTGTGCTCCTCAACAAATTGAACTATCAAAATGTATAAAATCAGAGTGAGTATCATTCATCATCAAGATTCAATTTCAAATAGAAACTAATGGTTCTATAAAAAGAGTCCCTTCATTACAAAAAGTCATGACTAACTGTGGTCACTTATTAAAAGAATATGAAACTTGTTTGAAAACAAATATAGCTGAACAAGGAAAATGTCTACCATTGTTGGGACAAGTTAGAGATTGTGCAAGTGAATCGATTGATCTAAGTAAAAACACAATGAACAATCTAAATCCTGGGAAATAAAGTATTTAAATTCTGTATAAAATAGAAATTTCATCATCATCATTACTCAAATTTCATTGAATTTAGGCCAAGCACTCACAAGACCTGATCACAACTACTCAATTGTCTTTTAGACACATCCGTCGATTGTAGAGCCTTGTAGTTGCTGCGATCCTAAAAACATACTATACAACAATCAAAACAACATACCAACAACCAACTGAACCCACAATCACCTTATAATTAGGCCACCATACCCCATAATAACACAAATTTTTCACTGGTGCCAGTTCTCTGTAAATTTTAAGCCGTTTCGCACCGGACTTAAAAAAAGTTGAAAGGGAAAAAAACACAACTAAAAAAGTTGACTTTGTGTTAAACATCAACAACAACAACAACCAAACAATCAGTCAATCATCAGGGCGCTTACCACTGCTCTAGCCAAATTCAAAAGACTAAGAAATAATCAAAGTGTTAATTCATAAGAAGGCCTTGGTTCAAAATGTCTGGTAATGATGATTATTTCGGTTCTCATTCATCAGTCGTCCCCAAAATTACTCTGAACTCAACTTCAAATAGCAGAGTCCATTCAACTCTATCCTCTCGTGTCAATTCTCCAACAAGGTCTGCTGAGACAAACTACATCCAATCGAATAGGCCTGCTTACAAGCAAATCCAAATTGATTACAACAGCCTGAGTGGTTCCAAGGATAATGATGATGATGAAAACCATTCTTTAAAACTGAAGAATAGTGTCTCTTTTGATACAGTAGCTCTAGATATCGCAGGTGGTGCTGGTGAAGATTTCGGGTTTTTCATGAATGATGATGAAGATGATGAAGATGAAGATAGAGATATCTCTCCAATAAGTCATGATCCAGAACTATCCACTTATCTACAACCAGGAAGAAACGGGCCAGGTAGTAGCTCAAATAGATTAAGATCACCTTCACCTTCACCTTTCAGAGACCTTTCACCAATGAGATCAAATTCATTTTCTTCCTTGCAGAATATTGAAGGTACAAGCTCCAGACAATCACCAAGGCTTGATCAAAATGGGTTTAGAACTGATTATCCAAGTGTACCTAGTGTTGATTTTAATTCTTTAGCTAAAAGTTTCCAACATCCAGATTATTATGAATATGTGAAGAAAACTGAAAATGAAAGAACATTATTAGTTTATATTAGTGGCAGAAGACATACTTGGGTTGCATTAGATTATGTTATTTCAAGATTATTGAGAAATGGTGATCATATTGTTATTGTGGCAAGAGTCCCTTCAAGTTTTACACGTCAATTTGCAAATAAAAACTCATTGAGAAGTAGAGATAATAATGATGTTGATAGTATTGATGAAGTACATGATCATTCAAGACCGTCATCTAGTGGTAAAAATAGAATACATCCAAGATTATTTAGAGATGTGGAGGAAAATATTAGAAAATATGTTGAATTCTTAATTGATGATCGTCAAATTGTTAAATTTACCACTGATATTGCTCTGTTTGATAGAACTTCAATTTTATTGAAGAAATGTGTGGAACTTTATGAACCTTGTACCATTATAACTTCAACAAAACCAAATTTAAGATTTCAAAGAAAACATACTTGGAATACTTCTAAAATATCTGATAAATTGGTCAAATTATTTCAAATCCCAATAACTGTCGTACCAGCTTTTACATTAAATGAATTTGAAATTTCATTTTTTGATCAATTAATTGCTGAAAAAAAATTAACTTCAAATCTTGATAGAATTAAAAATAAGCTGAAGACTTTTGATTTTAGTTCTTCATCAATTCCAAGTGTTCCATCAACAAGAGAACAAGAAATTAATAATTCAAATTTACTTTATTCAAGAAATGGAAGTGTTGCAGATCTGAATAATTCATCTAAAATTAATGGCACACCTGAATTGACCAATAATAATAACAGGGAAGATGAAGAAGACGATGATGAAAGTGATCTTTCTTCAACTTTTAGTGATGATGAAGATAGTGAAACTTCATCTGTTAAAAATTTAACAAGAAGTATAAGTAATTACAAAGATATTTTGGATAAATATATTGAAGATACTGAAAGAGAACCAATAACTAAAACCACATTCCTTGATAAATTAAATAAAGTTACTGATATCAATCATAAAATTTCAATTAAATTTTCAGAAACTTCAGCATCAGATGGTGATGGAGCTGCATTAGTTAGATCATTAACAGGTTTACCAGAATTAACTCAAAAAAAATCAATGTTGGATGTTTTAGAACCTGCAAAGACCAATGGTGAAGCTCTGCACAAATTGAAAACTTCATTATATTCTAATGGTACACATTCACCACGTCATAATGGAACTCCAAAGACAATTAAATTTTCCAATGATATTTCAAGTCCAGATAAATTGAAATCCAAAACTAAATTAAATGTTGAAGACGTTAATGGTTTAAGAAAATTTAAAAGTCATGTGGAACATAGTAATAGAAATGAAGAAACAGATAGATCACTGAGTCCATCAATTTCTCAACCTCAACAAGCACTTTCCAAATCATTATCAGAATCTAAAGTTAAAACTCTGAGAAATCAACGTCAAAGTTCAGAAACAGACTTAAGTATTAGAACAGGTTCTAGTAATGACATGGATGGTAAAAAAAATGGATCAATTAAAGATCGTTTTAAAAATCTACTTAGAAAGAAGAAGAAGAAATGAATTGAACAATCAATCATCATTATTTACATATTATATATTTATATTCTGGGTTATACAAATTTTTTAATCTATTTATTTTATACTTTCAAGTCTTTTGATTGATCTGTATCTATATCTTATCGACATGAGTTAAAATCTGGGGTTCGGCAACATCGGGTGGTTCTCTTCACCGGCATTCCGTGACCAGCCGGGGGAGCTTTCGCGAATTAATCTGGATGGCCAGAGTCCGGCAAAGAACGATCCATGATTTGGCTGAATTGTCATAAAGTACATCGGCATAATCGTTGCTGTTGTGGGTGAGCGGTGAGTGATCGCAAAGAGAATGACAAATACTACGCTGGTAATATATATATATAAGCCCATTTTATTCATTTGTAACCTGCTTCAACTTATAGCCTGTAATTCTTTCAGTTTGAATAAAAATTCGGATTTTCAAATTCTGGAGAAAGTGGAAAAAAAAACCGATTACCAATATCTTCAACAACAGAATTTTCCTTCCAATTACAAAATCAACAATTTGAATATTTTTCAATCAGAAAACCATCTTTTAGAATCAATACACTATAGACAACACCTGAGATTCTACTATTACCGGTTCACTGATTATCTTCTTCTTATCTCCAACTGATTCCTCTTTATTTATTTTATCGCGTTGCCCCCTTTCACAATATCATTCCACAATGCTTAGACAAACAGTATTACAAACAACCAAATCCGTTGCTTCAAGATCATATGCCACTGCTGCTGCCACCGCTAGTGCTCCAATTGTCCCAAAACCAACAAGAAGAGTTGGTGCTTTTAGAGGTGGATTTTTAGGTTTTTTCGTTGGTGTTAGTTTAACCTCTTTGGTTACTTATTCTTATGTTTTGGATCAACATAAATCAAGTTCGAATGTTATCATAAGTGATGTTCTAAGCTTACAAAAATCAATCAGAACTTTGGAAGAACACGTTAGAGCTTTAGAAAGACAGCAAAAAGTTGTCACTACTACTGAAAAATGAGGTAACAACAACAATAATCACTTCATATCAACATTCAAAAAAAAGTTCTCAGTTTAAAGGATATGAATCTCACAAATGCTAGCCATTGACAATATTAGTGTATTTCTAGTTCATTTCTATTTAGATATTCATTGTTCAACCCCACAATTCATGGAGTACCATGTATTTATTTATTATAATTCAAAGATTTAAAAGCAGAAAAAGATTACCAATCACCTTACAATCTGTAGACTGATCCATAATCAATTTTATGCCATTACGATCTATTTAAGTGCTAATTTTGTTACTCTATTAAGCTATGGTGATTACGTAATTTCTGACCTCACCAAATCTAAATTTTTCGACGTGAGTCTTCAATTCAGAAAAAAAAACAGTGAAGACAATAAGAACCACAACCAACCACAAAACAAAACAAAGAACAGCTGGTCCAAGTAAAGCCTGTGGAGGTACAAATTTCAACACGATACAACGCAGACAATGAGCTCGGAACGCAGACCTTCCATGGCCGAACGCCGCTCCTCTACTACAACACGTCCACACTTTGACTCAAACTTATCCACATCTTATACCACCCAAGGCGGTATAGGAAATACGTCAAGAAGACCTTCCGTGGTTCCTCATCTAGCTGGCTTAGAAAAACCACTCCCAGAGTCCATCCCTGACCAATGTGATGTTGTTATAGCTGGTACTGGGTTGATAGAAAGTATACTGGCTGCTGCGTTAGCATGGCAAGGTTCAAATGTCCTACATATAGATGCAAATAATTATTATGGTGATAATACTGCTACTTTAACAATAGATCAGTTGAAGAATTGGGTTCAAAAAGTTAATAACAATGAAGTTGATGGGTTCAAAAATGCACTGTTATATATTCCAAGTGGTAATGAATTAAAATCAAGAGATTTCGGTATTGATTTAACTCCAAAAATATTATTTGCCAAATCAGATTTATTATCTTTATTAATTAAATCAAGAGTTTATAAATATTTGGAATTTTTACCATTAAGTTCTTTTCATTTTTTCGAAAATGATAATTTTGAAAAAATGTCAAATACAAAGCAAGATATTTTCACTAATCAATCATTATCATTAATTACAAAAAGATCTTTAATGAAATTCATTAAATTTGCTATAGATTGGGAAAATCAACAAGATGTTTGGGAAAATTATAAAAAAGAATCAATTGAAAAATTCTTGAAAGAACAATTTAAATTAGAAAAACCTCAAATATTTGAATTGATTTTTTCAATTGGGTTATGCAATAATTTATCAATATCAACTCCTGAAGCCTTAGCAAGAATTAAAAGATATTTAATAAGTTTTGATGTTTATGGTAATTTCCCAGTCATGTATTCAAAATATGGTGGTGCAGGTGAAATTTCCCAAGGTTTTTGTCGTAGTGCTGCAGTTGCTGGTACAACTTATAAATTGAATACTAGATTAGAATCTTTTGATCCAAAGACAAAAATTGCTAAATTTTCTGATAATTCTAAAATTAAAGTTAATGAACAAGTTATATTATCACCATCTCAAGCTCCATTAAATTCAAAATTTATTCCAAATCAAGATTATGAAATTCAAAGATTAACTGTCATTGTTAAAAAAGACTGTAAAGAATGGTTTGAAAATGGAGAAAGTGCTTCCATTGTTGTTTTCCCTTCAGGTTCCTTATCAAATAATAATAAAGAAGCTGTTCAAGCTATTATAATGAGTGAAGATACTGGAATAACTGCTAAAGATACTTGTGTTTGGTATTTATCCACTACTGAAAAAGGTCAAAAGGGTCGTTATGATTTAGAAAATGCTTTAAAAGCAATGGAAAATGCAATTTTAAGAGAAAGTTCTGATCATTTAGATAATGAGGATGGGATTTTTGAAAATGGTACAGGAATGATAAATTCAGTTAAATTAGGTCAATCATTTAAAGATTTTGTTCCAAAAGAAAAAATCCAATATCTATTAAAGATTTTCTATGTTCAAAAAACTTCAATACCGCATTCAGGTATTGTTATTCCAAATCAATATAGAAAAAATTCAATTCAACCAACATTTGAAGATCCTTCAGCTCCAGATAATGGAGTTATCTATTCAACTTTACCTTCAAGTGAAATATCATATGATGGTATTATAACTGCTGCAAAGATTTTATATGAAAAAATTGTTGGATCAGATGATGATTTCTTTGATGTTGATTTTGAAGATGAAGATGAAGAAATTTCAAATTTAACTGGTAATAACAATGATAATAATACTTCAACTTATGATGATAATGTTTCTGAAAGTGTTGAATTTGCTGATGATATGGAGTTATAGAGACCCCTTCTGTCATCTTCTGTTCACCTTGATACCCCCACCGTGTTTGTTTATTTGATATAGACCTGCATTTCAAATTCCAACTTGTTCTTTATTCTGGTGTTTTGTGTTTTTTATTAGTATATGTATATTTGTTCTCATATTATTTAATTCTTCAGTGGGTTCCATTCATCTTCAATTTATCATGTCTCGAATCAGGTATTTTATAAATCTATATACATATATGACACAATTTTCAAATGTGTTAATTTAATGAATTTACTATTGACTTCACGTACTTTATAAATCCCAGCCCTAATCAAACTCACGTGACTTTGTTTATTACCCGATCGCGTCACTGAAGAAGAAAATTTTCATGTGGTTCGTGCAACACTGAAATTTTTCAAGTAGGTTTCCCAAGGTTGAAAAAAAAAATTCCACCAACTTGTAACGTTAATGTTGAATTTGTTTAAAAAAACCATAGTACTGAGCAGAATCTTTTCTTATCTGTCGAAGAAGTCTACACTACTATTAATAATATTTTGAAAAAATGTCTGACACTGAACAAGTTGAACAAGTTGAAGAAGTTGTTGTTGAAGAACAAGCTGGATCAATCACCATTGAAGATGCTTTAAAATCAGTTTTAAGAACTGCTTTAATCCATGATGGTTTAGCTAGAGGTTTAAGAGAATCCTCAAAAGCTTTATCAAGAGGTGAAGGTCAATTAGCTGTTTTATGTGAATCAGTTACTGAAGCTTCAATTGTTACTTTAGTTGAAGCTTTATGTAATGAACCAGAAGAAAAAATCCCATTAATCAAAGTTTCAGATGCTAAATTATTAGGTGAATGGGCTGGTTTAGGTAAAATCGACCGTGAAGGTAACGCTAGAAAAGTTGTTGGTGCTTCTGTCGTTGTTATCAAGAACTGGGGTGCTGATTCTGAAGAACGTAACATCTTATTAGAACACTTTGCTAACCAATAAATTATTTGAAAAGATTGGAATAAAGATGGTAAAAATCTTTGGGAAAATTCATAAATAAAAGTAATTGAAATTGAGGCATTGTATATTAAATCAAATTTGATGTCAGACTCTTCAAAAAAAAAGAAAATGTAGTTGACTTTTTGAGATTTTCAAAGGTTAAAATGATTAATCGCTATCGCAATATTACTATTTTACATGTTGTCAGTCAAATGCAAATTATGAATTCATTGAGATAGCTAATCATGATCATAGGAAAATTGGAACATCGATACCACCATTTTCTTCCTCTTCTTGATCAATATAAGTTTGATAATCGTTATTATTAGTTGGAGGTAATTGATAATGTTGTGATTCTTCTTGCTCTATTTCTTCTTCTTCATCATCAGATATTAGATGTTCAAATTGTTCATCTTTATCACTTAATTGTAAAATTTTGAAATCAATAACTGTTCCTGTATAATTTTTTGGTAAATCAAAACCATGTAAACTTAATAAATTCAAACTTAGTATATTCTCATCTCTTTTAAATTTACATTTATTTGATAATTTGATTGATTTGAGGAATTTGTTGAAAATTGCAAATTTATAGCAACTTATATCAACCTTATTCTTTGTTGTCACAATTAATTTTTCCAAAATTGATCTTTCATTTGGTAAATATAAAGTTGAATGACCGACATCACTTTTTGAAATGATCGCAAATTTAGTTTTATGATTTTTATTTGAACCATAGATATAAATTTCTTCTGCACCTATATCTTTTAAATCTTTTAATGCGTCATACAAGACATCAGCTTTAATTATACCTTCAATTAATAAGTTTCTTTGATTTAATTCAAAACCAAGATTATTTGCCTCTAATTCCAAGTTAATGAAAGTTGAAAATTCACATCTTTCAATCATTTTATTATCTTCAAATATTAAAATAAATGGATATCCCGAACCTTTATAGAAAACTGTACAATCAGTTGATGAATTACCATAAGCAGCAGCAGTGAAATTATTACCATTGTTGTTATTTTTAGATGCAAGACTTAAACTTTCCACTATTGGAACTAAATCCACAGCAAATTTATCCTTTTCTTGTTCATCAAGATCTGACTCTTCTGTATCTGAATCTTCCCTTCTAGTTACATTAGGCCTACTTGGATTGTATTGATAAGTTGTGAATAGACTTTTCTCCAATGTGATTTCAGCTATAGAACGCAATTAGTAATTGAATATAATGATCCTTTATTATCTCTTACTCACCTCGACATATATGAGAATACTCTGTTATGAAATTCAGCCCATCTTGATCTATTGTCACCAAAACTTGTGATGAGATGGCAGTTAAAGAGCTTAAAATATTTGAAATATGGCTTAAAGAATGAGTAGTGGCACTTAGCACAAAGTCGGTGTCATTTTGAGAGTGAACTTGGGTCATTTGGGATCGTGAAAGCGTGTGTTTCTTTATTGTTTTGACGTTTTGTATTTGAGTTTTTGTTTTTGTTTTTCATTGTCTCGATTTGGAAGTGTAATTGGATGAGAAAAAAAAGTCTCCATTTTACATTTCTCGAACAAATTTTGACACCAAAAAGTGACAAAATCAAAGGAAAAGAGATTTTAAAAGCTGTTTATAGTTGGTTTATTGAATAATGTCGAATTTTAATAGCAAGAGACTCAAAAAAATGGGTTTAATCGGATGTGTGGTTGTGCTTTTGGGTACTGGAGGTTATGCTCTTTATCAAAGCTATCTTAATAAAGAACAAGAACAAGAACAAATCACTACAAAATACACTTCGAAACCAATCACAATCATCTTGACAGACTCCATAATATCCTCAAACCTGCCCATCAATGAAATTCTATTGAAAACTGACAATATAGTGCTAGTTATTCCTCCAAACTTATCTGTGGATGATTTAAATGAAGAAATTGATGAATCTATAAGTTTCAAGATTATTGAATGTTCTACTAATGACGGTGTTTGGTCAGTTGTGAAGCATTTAAACAGTGAAGTGATATTTGTGGTTAATGATGATTTAAACTATGAAATTCCTAAAAATTTACAAAGATATGTTGGGGAAATTATTGAATTGGAACAAAATTTCTCATATATTAATCAAAAAATACTATCATATATCATCAACTAATCCTTTGTGATGTTTCTTTTATTACCAAAGACAACACCTTCACTACTTTGACTTGCACCTTTCATATAACCATATTCAAAAGAACTCCATTTAGGATCATTCAAGAATTGAGGTTTCTTTGGTACTTTAGGTGGTGGTTGTTTGGTACTCAATTTTGGTCCTATCACTGGTATTGAAGGTGTTTTCGTATGAACATATCTAGAAAATGAAACTATAGTTTGCAAGACAATTGTTGGATCATTTTCTTCGTATAAATCTATGGTTTGAAACACTTCATCTTCTGGAACCCCATATTTCTTTACAAAAGTTAGGAATTGTGATATATTTTCCATCTGATATAAGAAATGTTAGTTGATTAGTTTGAATTGATTTGTAGATTAACATACTTGAACAAAGGGCATTTTACTCTCTTTGTATTTAACAACTTTCTCACCAGCAATGGCATTAGCTAGTCTTCAATTGTTAGATTGAGCATCATTTTTGGAAATATATACTACTCACTTCCCCAATACAACACCATCTTTTAAAACATCTATCAAATCCTCCTGTTGTGGGACGGATTCACCTATTCTATCAAATATCCATTGTTTTGCCTGATCAGCCAAATCCTTGTTATACTTTGATCTCCGTAGTTCCCTTAGATCCTGGTCCAATGAGGAAACATCTGCCTTCTTTTGATAAGGGTCTTCAGCCATTTTGAATTGTGCTGTTGTATCAATTTGTTATGGCTCAATTGAATTTTGAGCTTTTCACTTCAAAATACTACCGCACCAGCCACAGATGAACTGGATGTGGCTAGTGTGTATATTACCTAATCGGGCCACCTGGCTGTGGCGCGTGTGTTTACATTTCGAATAAATTTCAAATCAATTTAAATCAGAAAAAACAAACAACAACGGAAACTCACATTCACAACCAAAACAAACTTGGTGGTGTTCTCTTTATCTGTTCCTGGGATAGATCTGAGACGAGTGGAGGCTATCTGGGCATACATCAGTGGGTCAGACAGGCTAAAATTGTGATAAAAGAGAAGTAAAGTTATACCCTTCAATTCCTTTGATTCAAAACACCCCTTGACATTCATGACATTGACACAATGGAGTTTTTAAAATCATTATGGCCAAACTCATCCACTAATGTGATAACGATTCCACAGCATATAGAAGGAGAATTGGAAGATGATTTGGACTTGAAAGTTAGAGCTTTAACTTATCTATTCAAAAGATTAGATATTGAAAATTTACCAGCTTTTATAAATGATGAAAATGGGATTTATGACTTGAATGGTAACAGTGAAGATAGTTATAATGAGAAACTGGACACTATTTATAATAAACCTGAATTTGAAAGGGTACTTGTTACTGATGAGCATAGAATATTGGTTGATTGGTTCAAAAATAGATTTAGATCAATCTGTATATTATCAAATTCACCTCCATCAGGATCCCATGATATGGGGAAGCATTTCAGATTCCAAGTTTTAAAACCAGATTCAACTGATGAAGAATATTTGAAAACTTTAATTTCATCAGATATTTATATTGAACATTCAATTGATCCAATAATGAAGACAGATATTTTGATAGAAATTATTCAAAATCAAAAATCATTAAGACCAAGTTATAAAAAACATTTCAATAAGAATGATAGAGCAAATATTATATTACAATATGTTCGGAAATTAAGTGAAATCGTTCAAGTTGATAGAATTTATAAAGCTACATTATTAACAAAACTAGAACAATATAGAGTTAATACTTTAGGATTAATCAAAGAGGATCAAATTATAGATCCAAATGTTAGTACAGATTCAGACTTTGAAAATGGTGTCAAAGTATTCCCAGGTGGGGGGATTAGATCAAGATCAAGATCTCCAGTTAGAAGGTATTCAAATGATAAGTTAACTACTCCTGCACCACCACCTATATTATCTAAACCATTAACACAATTGAAAATGAATTCACAATTACCACCACCTTCGCCATCATCGATGAAATTAACACCCCCATCATCACCAACAAAGTCAATACATACATCCTCACCAAGATTAAGATCAAGATCTTCATCACCAATCAAGTCTTTAAAGAAAAAACAATCAATGACCATATTGAAAATGGATAAATCATTGAATAAATCTCAAGATTCACTAAATCATGAAGAGAATTTGATTTCAAAAGATGATAAAGCTTTAATTTATAATCAATCTGAACAAGCTGTGCTGTTTAGAGTTGATAGAGAACGTAAATTATTGAGATCAAGTTGATAAATCATGCACAGTTACAATACATTACCATACATTTTATAAAGTTATTGATTTTATATTCATTTGCTTTTTGAAACACTTTTATTTATATCATTTTTATTTGTCGGTTGGAATTAGGTTACATACATTTATTTTTATTCATTTCATATTCATCAATATTGCATACATTTTAAAACTCATATTAAACTAATGGCGTAGCTTACAAATTATCCAATCCTTATGTTTCCATTAAATATAAATTTATCCTTTATTTGCCTATTTACAAAATCATAACCATGCACACTTATTTTTTTCAACCACTTCCTCCCTCTAGTCTAAACTTTATGTCTCTTTGTTGGATCAACATGTAATGGAGACCAGATACCTCTGATACTTTCATTCAAACTTTCCACTTTACTCTTTGTATGTCTTAATTGTTCACCACTTGATTCTCTTAAAAGATTTAATTTATTTTGAACATTATCAATGTTTAAATTACGTATACAAATGGCTTTTTCACGTCCATTTATATATTCACCTTTAATGACTGGATGACCAGCTTTTTCCACAATTTTGAATTCAATTTTTGGATTTGATGAAGCATATTGATCTAATCTTTTTTTCAAGAAATCTCTTAAACCTTTAGAGCTACCACCACATTTATCAAATTGTAATGTTATTCTTTTGCAAGGTAGCACGAATGCACCGACACCGTTACGTAGGATTGGAAGACGAGGTATTGGTTTGATAGGCATCTCTTGGTGTTTAGCGATTTACTCGAGTATTAATCAATGATAGTAGTTTTCTGAATTTTCATCAACTTTTTTTTTGGCCTCGAAGAAATTCGCGAAACCTACTGCACAAGTGTGACAGCGTCGGTGTCACAGATGTGCACAGAGTTTAAAAAGTTCAATTTGAGCGTTGAGAAAATGATTAAAAGATAGTTGATTGGTTATAAATTAAAATATGCTGAGTATTCGATTTAATCATTAGTTTGATCAAGTTAAACCTCGAATTATACAAAAACTCAACTTTTACCAACCTTTTGATTAATTTTCGCGAACTCTCCAGATTTTGAATTCATGTTGTTTTGTATCTGAAATCAAACTTCACTGAAATCTCTTAATTATTGGATAATATGTTTAGAAGTTGCCTAAAGAGTCAATTTAGGCTATTCAGCACTACACGGATCATTAGAAAAGAAAACGTCTTATCCCATTTGGACGTTTTAGGAGGCTCTGCTCAACCATCAAATAATGTTCAATCAGTTACAAATAATGGATTCATATTCTCAGAAGGTTTAATCATTCAAAATAAGAGTGCATTGTTATTATCAGGAAGAATTCTAGAGTTCACGCCGAAATATAATATTAAGAATGGGTTTATAGTGGAATTTGAACAAAGTTCTTTAAATTTTTTAAAATTAATCAATCCTCAACCTGATTTGTTTGTTATTGGGTTAGGTTCAAAATCAAGATTATTAAGTCAGACAAATATAGAATTCTTAAATTCTTTGGGGATAAGATGTGATATTTCAGATACTAGAGGTGCTGTCAGAAACTTTGATTTATTGGCTACTGAAAGACCAAATCAAGTTGCAGCTATTTTCCTACCCCCAAACGTTTGAAAGAGCATTTTCAATATTATTATTTTATTTATTCACTATTTATTCATTAAATCATCACTTCATTCATTTGAAAATTACAATTAATCAATTTGAGGTTTCAGTTTCAAGTATTGAAATTTGTAGTATATTATCATCTCCCAAATAATTATCAACTGGTTCAGAAACATGCTCAATTGCATTCAAAGAAAATCCATAATTAGATCTAGCCCTTGCTTCCACCCAACCATAAATGTTTTTATCAACATCATCTTCCCAACCTCCATCGAACTTCTCCTTTGCATAATCCACATAGAACTCTAAAAACTCATTATGAATCCCTGATCTATGATAAGAATGACAATGGAATATTGAATTCAAACAACATGTATAAAACATAATCTTCATAGCAATATGGTCACCTTGCTCTAACAAGTGAACATAATCAATATCACTTGACATATAAACTATTCCTCTAAATAGTGCCATTGTATAAGTGAAATATAAAGTTTGAAAACATGAATTCTCTAACCTAGAAATGGCCGTTTGATACGAAATTTGTGAAACGTCAAATCCTTCAGCTTTTTCATTAATATAATCTTCAAGGTGTTTAATGATTCCAAGTTTAAGATTTTGAAATTTTTCAATATAATCTCTTGGTGGTATTAATTCTGGATCGAAAACTTTTGAATATTGAGTTTCTTTAACCATTGAACCATATTTACCAAATCCAATGAGAAACTTATTAGTTGAATACATAAGCTCCAATAGGTAACTATCTTTGATATTGGTAAACTTGTGGTTATTTCTTGGTCTTGGTAAAATCACTCTTGAACCTGTACATAATTTTTTGGCAACTAATAATTGACCTAAAAGTTCTTTTGATTCCTCTAAATTAATCGTTTCATCATCAATCATTCTTTGATACATATCAATCAGTTCCAATGTTCCTTTCATATACTTCATTGCTTGATTATTTAAATTTACTTTATATGGCGTCTTTGGAATTGAAGTTTGATCTTCAACTTCAATATAGATTTCTTTGCTTGTATCAAAATCATAATTTGCTAATAATCTTGCACTACTTATTGTATATAATGCATTTTTAATCAAATCTGAAGAGCACCATAATTTTGGAATATCATCACGCCAAAAATAATAAGAATCTTTATTAAAATCTTTCATTGAAAAAAAATTCCCACCAAAATCAATGTAAAATTTCAACAATTGTAATTCTAATTTTGAAATGTTTAATTGAAACGCTACTGAGTTTAGTTTTTGTAATGGCTCATTAGAAATAGCAGAAATTTGATTTTCTTTTCTTGATTTTTGAACTCTATTGGGAACCTTGTAAACACATTCTTTACCTGTTTGAACACAATATTCACATTCAGGCTTATTCTCATTGCATTTAATCTTTAATCTTTTGCAATTTAAACAACCATTCCTTGATCTCTTTTGCTTTGGCTTGTTCATGCATTCAATATCAACATTGACAATAGAAGACTTTGGTACTAAAGCTCTATAATTTCTTCTAGTTTTTGATATAGCTGGTGAGTTCGTCATCATCTCCATCTCCATTAACACTTTTCAGGAACTCTCACAACAACAAAGTACAACAACAATCACAGCAACAGCTTTTTAACATTAAATACAATATAATACGCCTATGAGATCAACAAATGAAGATGGTTTCATTCAAATTTATTTGCGCTGATGAATTATACTCAATCCCCAGATTAGCTAATCGCCTAAATTATGCTGCTCCTACCAGTGTAATACTGACACGTATTTAGATGACAGAGAACTATTCTCACACTATTTCAGTGTCGTAACAGCTGATTTGCAATCTGTTTGAGAGGTTTGAGTTTATACAAATGAGAGTTTTCAAATGCTGATCTTACATCCTCTTGTGTATTCTCTTCGTTATCCAGGATTTCTTCTTGTCTGCCATTGGATACGTGCCATCAACATGGTATATACAGCATATCTATTTATAAGCGATTACATAACCAAGACGCCTTAAATTATTAATAAGAAGCTTTCTTCAACTTTTCAACCGTTTGAAGCTGAGATGAGATTATTTGAGCTTCTCGAGACTCAAGCTGGTGAGAAATATGGACCACAAGCTGCCATCCAGTACAAGGAGAAACTACATAGCTTTAATCCCCAAGACAAATGAGTTGAATATCGTATCCCATGAGTTTGCACCAAATCCAATTAAAAAAAGATCAAGAAATGGTTGTACAAACTGTAAGAGATTGAAGATAAAGTGCAGTGAAGATAAACCAGAATGTGAATATTGTATACAGACTGGGAAACACTGCATTTATCTAAACAGTGAGACTTCAAAAGCTAAAAAAAATCAAAAATTAGCGATCAGTAATCAACAAAAAAGAACTGATACAGGTTTATCCAACAAGTCTTTGCAAAAAATTAATTCAGCAACATGTCAATTGGATATTTCAAAATTTGAATTACAACTTTTGAAATTCTATCTTGAATTTGGTGGAAGTTTTTTCTCTCTTGAAACGTCGTCAAAATATTATTCATTTTGGTGTGATGATGTTCCGAAATTATGGTGTTCTTCAGATGTGATCAAATATGCTTTATATTCAGTGAGCTGTGCTAGGTTACTAGCAAATTACGGTTATGATACAAGTAAGGAAATCTATATTGAAAATGAAAATCAAGATTCAACCTCTGCGATGCCCTTTACAATAACGTTGAATGACCAAGCTTTGAAATACCTTAAAAAAACATTGGAGATGATTGAATTGTATCAATTATTAATTGATGGTCAATCTGTTGATTCAAAAGAGACAGAGGATCTGCTAGGTCAATTAGCCATTGCAACAAAATTGAGTGTGGGCTCAAAAGTTATTTTACCAAGACCAAAAAAAATTAAAGAAATAACAAAGGTTAAAGATTTAAGTATAATTGAATTTATGACCACAACAGGAGCATCACTTCAATGTTTTGATAAATATTCTTTGTTTTTGAAACAATCAAAATATTCAGGTGTTTTTGAGCCAGAAGCAATCCCTATTGAAGAATATAATCGAAAATTCAATAATTATGAAATAGTTTTGGTTAAACATTTGGAGTATTATATTAGCCAAAGAATAAGTGCTTCGGATGATTCTCAAATCACTTACCAGTCTGCTATTTCAAAATTGGAAGCTTCATGTTTTCAAACATTATATTTTCGTTATACAATTGCCCTTTTTAGAGCAGTTGTCCATTTATCTATGGATAATGATTTTGTTAACCTTTTGAAAGAAGAAGATCACACGGCAATGAAGATTATGTTTTATATTTGTTGTTTGAATTCAATTTTCCATTATCAATCCTATCAAAGAGATGGTATTCAAAATGAGTTTTTGGAATTTTACATCAAGTACTCTAGGGAAAAATTTAACGAGAATGAAGGATGGGAAGATGATATTGATAAAAACGCTTATGAATGGGTTATTGCAAGATCAAAAAGTGATCGGGCTTACTCTTTGGATGTTTTGAGATATGTTGGTGAACCTGTTGATAAGTTTCTTGAAGCTGGAATCTTGCTTTCGCACGACCATAATTAGCATATGTAAATAGTAATGAGTTTATGAAGTTATAAGTTTTGTATGCTGCCATCCACTACGTGTCATTGATAGCACGGTTAGAGCAACAAAAATACTTAGCGATTACCTAAGCGTCAGCTGCCTTTATTTGTTCATTTTGCAATTAAATAGAGCTCAAAACTCCTTCTTTTGCGATTAGTCGAATTTTCTATTCTTTTATTTTTGATGCTAAAGCTATAAAGGAACTCAATTCAAAGTGAATTCCAGTTGTTGGTGCTGAAAGTGTTTGTGTTTTAGCTGATAAAATGAGTTGTGACATCAAAACAATAAAACAACCATCAAAACCAAAAAGAAGGAACTACAAAACATTATTCAGTGGTCCAGGCTTAATCAACTTCAATAATAACGAAACTATTACAAAGCCAAAAAGGAAAAGATCAAAGAATGGTTGTACAAATTGCAAAAGGTTGAAAATCAAATGTAATGAAGATTATCCTGAATGTGAATATTGCATACATACGGGGAAACAATGTGTTTATCCATTGTTGAAAAACACAAAACCAAAGATAAAGGGTCAGTCAAGTGAAGTAATTGATATTCAATCTAATCTCATAAAAGATGTTGTACCCATGCCAAGTATTTTAAATAAACCTTTACAAAAATTGAATTCAGTTTCATTTCAATTGAACATTTCTAAATTCGAATTACAACTTTTGAAATGTTATATTGATTTCGGTGGGAATTTCTTCCTCAAAGATGTTAGTAAAGAATCTCATACATTCTGGTCGGAAGATGTTCCAAAACTATGGTGCTGTTCAGATTTAGTGAAATATGGGTTGTATTCAGCAAGTAGTGCAAGATTATTGGCAAATTATGATTATGATACAAGTAAGGAAATCTATATTGAAAATGAAGATCAAAACTCATATCCAATTATTCCTTTTACAATAAACCTAAGAGAGCAAGCTTCAAGATATGCTGAGAAGACATTTGAATTAATCAATATGTATCAAATGATGTTTGATGATCAGTATGGTGGTGCTTTAAATGAATCCGAAGATATCCTGGGTCAGTTAATTGTTGCAAACAAACTTGCTGTAGGATCAAAAGTTATTTTACCAAGACCTAAGCACAATCAAACATTCAATAAAGTTGAGGAAAGTTTATTGTTTCAACTTATGTCTGTGACGAATAAAACTTTTCAAGAATTTAGCAAGTATTCAACATTATTAAAGGACACAAAATATGCATGTATCTTTGATCCTGAAGCAATACCAATCAACCAGCATAAACTATTAGTTGAAAATGTCAACTTGGGCTTTATAAGATATTTGAAGAATTATGTCAATGATAAATTTGATCCCTCTGATGATTTTAAAATTACTTATCAATCCGCTATATCCAGATTTGAATACTCATGTCATCAAACAATTTACTTTCAAAATACAATTTCATTATTTAGGGCACTAGTTTATATTACAAGGGATTCTGATTTTCTAGATTTGCTTAAAAATGAAGATCACATCGCAATGAAAATTATGTTTTATTCATGTTGTTTAAATTCAATATTCCATGATAAGATTTATCAAAGAAATGGTGTTCATAATGAGTTTTTAGAATTTTATGTGAATTATTCCAAAGATAAATTTAATGGAAGTTGGGAAGATGAAGTTGACAGGAATATTTATGGTTGGGTTCAAAAAAGAGCTGGATGTAATTATGGGTTTGATTTGAATGCTCTTAAATATGTTGGAAAGCCAGTTGATAAGGTCCCTCCTGGTGTGCTAAGGATTTCGGAGATAGACACTGGTATAAAATCAACACAATATTAATAAATGAAGAATACAATAGAATCTTTTTGAAAAACGTAGTTTTAAAGACTTTTTAGATTTCTCAAAGTTTATGCTGTCTGTCACTTTGAAAGTGTCAGTAATCTCGCTTTTCTCGGATTTCACTCCGAAATCCGTTAGCGATTATATAATAATAGAGATGTTTCACAGTCGAAAAATTAGTGTTGCACTATGTATCGAAATGGAAGTACTGCGGAAATAAAAAAGGTCGTTTCACAAAAAATAGTGAAGGAAATTCCAAATGTAGAATTCTAAGGTTGTCGACCTATTTTTCGTGATAGCAGATATTCCCAAAAGGGATAGTGTTCAGGATAGTGTTTCAACACTAATAGTGTTGAGAAAAATTTTTGCAGTATCCATTTTAGGAAACTCCCAACGCTTACGTAATTTTTTTGGCCGAAAAGGGTTAGTGTTACACTATTTTTTCGACTGTGAAACATCTCTAATCATCACCATATTTGAACTTCCTCATCAAAAGATGTAATTTAATAAAAAGTTGCGATCATTACTGAATTTAACTTGGATCCTATCATAATTAATCACTTAAATACAATGAATAGCTCTTACAAAAGATATAAAAGGACAAGAAATTACAAACCTTTGCTACCAAAAACTAACTTGGATAATAATGTGATAACCAACTTCTCAGATACTCAAGCTGTTGTCAAAGTTAAGAAAAGATCCAAAAATGGTTGTACAAATTGTAAAAAACTCAAAATCAAATGTAATGAAGATAAACCAGAATGTGAATATTGTATACAAACTGGTAAAGAATGTATTTATCAAGTGAAAGAATCTAAAAATTCTAGTCAAAAGGCTAATAGGAAGCAACCAGATAATACACCAACTGTGGTGGAGAATCAAATTACAAGTATTGATAACAAGCCTTTGAAAAGACTAAACTCAATTTCATTTCAACTAAATATTTCAAAATTTGAATTACAGTTATTAAAGCTTTATGTTGATTTTGGAGGGAATTTTTTATCTGTTAAAGGTGTGGATATGATTGCCTCTCAATTTTGGAGAGAAGAGATTCCAAAGCTTTGGTCTTGCTCAGATTTGATTAAGTATGCCTTATATTCTGTTACAAGTGCAAGATTATTAGCAAATTATGATTATGATGAAAGTCAAGAGATTTATATTGAGAACGAGGATCAAAAATCAAATCTTCTGGTTCCATATACAATCAATTTAACCAAGCAAACATTAAGATATACGAAGGAAACTTTGGAATTGATAGAAATGTACCAATTAATGATTGATGATGAAGCATTAAATGCAGATGAAACAAAAGATATTTTAGGTCAAATACTTGTTGCTAAAAAATTGTGTGCTTTTTCAAATATTCTTTTACCGAGACCTAAGCAGAATGTTGGATTGACAAGACTCAAGGATAGCTCGTTGGTTAACCATATGCTAGTAGCTAATAATTTTATTCAAATTTTCGATAAATATGGACCAATGGTTAAAAATACTAAATTTTCAAAAGTATTTGCTCCAGCATTTATACCTCTGAAGGAATACATTGAAATTTATCAGAATATGGAAATTTTCCTCATAAATCATCTTGAAAATTATATTAGTGAGAAAGTTGATGCTTCTGATTTATTACAATTTACTTATCAAACTGCACTTTCAAAATTAGAAAATGCATGTCATCAAACACTTTATTTCACTTATACCATTTTCCTTTGCAGATCAATGAGCTATATGTCAATAGATATTGACTATATTAATTTAATAAAGAAAGAAGATCATATTGCCATGAAGATTTTATTTTATGCTTGTTGTTTAAGCGCAATATTTCATCATCAATCATTCCATTGGGATGGGGTTTATAATGAATTTTTGGAATTTTACGTTAGTCATTCAAGAGAAAATTTTGATGGAGAATGGGAAGATGATGTTGATAAGAATATTTACGGATGGGTTAAAGCAAGAAGTAAATATAATCATCGGTTTGAATTGAGTGCCATTGAACATGTTGGTGAACCAGTTGAATATTTCTTGAACTGATAGATATTGCTTGAAACCGAAGTATTACTGAACCGGATAGTGGATTTAATTAGAAAATTATGATAATGATTGAATGATATTTTAATAATTTAAGGCTTAAGCTTGTAGTTCATGTGACCAGTACAAGTCACATGACCTTTCGCGAACTTGTTTATTGTTTGTTTTTTATTGATTTTTTCATTGTTTCTGTTTTCTTCCTTTAACTTTTACTTTCGAATATCAATCATTCGTTGGAATATCTCTGGGGCATTTTTTAAACCGAATGGCATAACACTAAATTGTATTTAACCATACTGTGTTAATTTCATTCAATGGAACTCTTTTGTTATTAATCATGATTAATTGATTATCTTAGTGAAGTTTCATCAATAAAAGGGCTGTGATCACTATTTTGAGTGCGAAGGCTAATAAATTGAAATAGAATTCTGCCTCAATAGTGTATCATTGGTTCAATTATTTTTTTATGACAGTTTGATCTTCTTGATCTTTTAGATGTAGATTAATTAGTCTTATTTCTCTTCACTCTTTCTCTATTTAACTAATCCTACCTTATAGACTAAACACATGCCTGCTTTTTATCTCATTTTTCATTAATTGAGCCTCACTTTAGAAGTGATCTTTTAATCTTGTAGCTTTCTTTGGCTAGCTGCTTTTCTTTCTATATAAGGAGTTAGTCGGATATTCGCGGTCAGGCTTGTCACCAGTATATAACAACTAATTTGGACAACAATATAATTTACTCGCAGAAATACCTATTTTAAATTCCTTATAATCAATGATTCATTATTATTAAATAATAAATTACAGAAATATTATATTAATTATTAATATACTTTTCGAATTAATATAAATTATAGAATTAATTTAAAAAATTATATCATACAAGTGTCTTGAATTTTCTCGCTTTGCTCGAAAATTTTTGTGTCGGGTTCGAGAAAGTCCCTTTGTAAGATACTGCGCGATGCCGGAGGATTATGTGAAGTACAAAAATGAGATGTACAGACTGATTTATATTATTGAAAATAGAATGATGAGTAGGTTTGTAAATAGACTGGTGATATCGTGAAGTCACTCTCGAATTCATAGCGTTCAAATCAAATAGATCGATCACTGGTTCAAATAATGAAAAAGTCCCACGTCAATGAATCACTGGGATATGGAATACCGATTTTAAGACCAGTCTAATATACTCATTTCAAAGTTGAATTTCATTTAAATTAGCACGTCTATTAAATCTCAACTCTTGGAAAATAAGCTATTGAAATGAGCCAAAGAAACATCTGGAAATAAGCAAAAACTATTGAAAGCGGAATCTCAGTTGGGCAACGTCTCAAATAAGACCGAATATATGCTCATTGTGTTCGTTTCTTCAAGCTCAGTATCTGAAAGACACCTACCATTGAACCAAATTAAAATTTTATTGAATAATTCAATTGGTAATGGCTATAGGATTCCTATTGAAGCAAGGAACCATTTAGATCATGTACGACAAAGAAAGTATTAAAAACATCCAATATTCAGATCCCCCAACATTTGTATTTATTTGATTTATCATGACCTCAGCTAGGTCATCACCAATTTATACCAGATATGGGGCTTTGGACATTTCGTGGTGATGCCGTTAATATTGAAGTTGAAGTTGCACCTTGGCTTCCCATTGAACACACCCATACAAACATAAGAAATGTAGGGGTTTTAACCCAGATTAACTGTAGATGTACTAATACCACTGCCTGATATGAAGCCATCAAATACAGACTCTCTGATAACTCTTTGTACAAAAGTTGCAAACCTGAGACTATCTGACACCAGGGAAACGGTGAAATCATTGAGCCATTATGCAGTAGGAACAGCTTGGTATAAATAGGAAATGAAGCTTTTTCACCAACATAGGCTTCCTTGGGGCTGGTTTCAAAACGAATGAAATGAGAGGAGCGCATAAAGGCATTATAAGTAATCAAACAGATGAACATTCAACATCCAACGAATAGGAAAAGAAGCTCAAGCAAAAACAATGGTCAGACACTAATGCCAGTATGGTATCAAGATCGCATAGACCAGATACTAAGCTCACGATCGATGACAATAAATATTAGTTATAGCATTTGTGAATAATAGTAGAACCAATAATTTGAGCCCACCTGATGACTACTATTGCCTGAGGTGAAGAATGATACCATGACTCCATGACCCTTCGAAAGAGCATTATCCAGCGATAAAGGTAGAACACCAACACCAGCTGCAAATATAATGGATTATTAGGCCCAATTGGTGACCCACACTCATGATATTTGCATTCACACATAATCAGTAGTCCTTGGTTATAAAAAGGACACTTAAAGTATCCAAAGGTTCTAATCATCAAAAAACAAAACACCATTTTAAGCATCAAGCAAGAGAGCCCATGTATATGTTTCAATAAACTCTGGTCAGCTGACGAAGAAGCAAATCAGTTGGGTCTGACATCAAGAGTAAACCTGAAGCGACACCAGAAACAATTGACAAATGAAACAGCGAAAGACCAACAGTAAAGCACTCGACGTTATAATGAACCATTGGGAGGTTTAGCTCTTATTGAAAAAAATACCAGCATCAACGTAAAATTAAACAATGAAAGACCAACAGTAAGGTACAGAGCATAAATACCAACAAAAACCTCGTAAATTGTAGCAACATCAACATCATAAAGCCAGAACCACACTCAATACCACCAGGTTATCTCAAAAGTCATGTAGGCTGGAATAGCAATGAGTACATAATAAACCACCGGGAGCTTTAGAGCTTACTGAAAAATTACCACCACCAACGTGTACCTCATATCGAGCGAATAATGGTGAAACATCTAACCAACTAAGCGGACGGCTTTAGAGCATGGTCACCATAATTGATTCTCATGTGGTATCAGCAACTCATGTTGAAATGGGACTTCAAAGCTCACTCAAAACGGGAGAAGGAGTAAAGCGAAACAGCTAAAGGTTAATTCTATAGAGAATAGGTATCGGTGAAAGCTCCATGAAGAATACCAGCATCAAAATATAGCTTAAATCCAACGAATAATAGGGAAACATACAATTTTCTAAACAGACAAATTAGATTCTCAACCAGTCAGCAACTCATTTTGGAAAAAGGGAGTAGAAGTATGCACTATCCAACAAACGCCCAACCGAATAGTAAGTAAACGCTGAGCCTGAAGAGACTTTGGTATGTACCACTGTAGAACTATCGAGCAGTTTATTATACGCTGGACTATAGTTTCAATTTTTCGATCACTGAGTCCCGGGCACAAACCCTTCCCATTGGAGACAAAAGTCAACAAAGATTACCTAATTGCTTACTACGAAAAGTAAACAAAAATCTGTGAAAAAAAGCATTTTGTTAGCAAAAATGGGCAACTTTAGCCCAACTTTTGAAGTTGAAGGAGTTGAGCTATGGAAAAAGTAAGGGTGGCATTGAATTCTTAGAGCATTGGTCAATAAGAATCGAGTGTTTTTGGGTAGTCTAAAGACAATTTCTGAAGCTTACCTAATTTCTTAGTACGAAAAGTAAACAAAAATCCGCGAAAAAAGGCGATTTGTTAGGCAAAAAATGGCAACTTTAGGGCGATATTTGAAGGTGTTAGAGTTGAGCTATGAGAAAACTAAAGCTACCATTAAAATTGTAGGCACGTAATTAGTAAGAATCGACATTGTCCCCGGACTCTAAAGACGGTTTTTGCGGGTTTTGTTTTCAATTTTATATATAAGATCACTTTTTTTTTTTTTTTAGTTTGATGTATTTGATGAACTTGGATGAGGAATGCAATTACGCACGAACCGCTTGGATTGTAGGCTTCTCGCTATGTTGGAATTCAGGCTTCCTTATAATATCCTTCTCAGCCAACTGAGAAACCTATTCTCCACCACGGAACAGTGTGGGACTCGCCTCTTGTTGAGGAATACCCACTAAAACTCACCCTAAATTAAAATCAGGTTTTTATAATTTATAAACTTCCATAAATTAATTAATCAATTATATTATATAATTGGCTGATCTCATGCATATACTTAAAAATAATTAAACAATATTGATTTGTGAAATTATAATTGTATAAAAGTATGAGACCCTAGTATTTCAACATATTTCGGGTTATTATTGTTCAAAGTTGATCATGTTTTACTGTTTGGGACGTCGTCTTCCGATTGATTAAGATGTACACGGTGAACTTTTTCGTCTATGAATGCTTTATGGTCGAAGCTTCTATTAACAGTGTGAGATGCTTGATTAGTGTATGGATTGTGAGGTTAAAGTGTGTTTGAATTGGAAAGTGTAAGTGCTCTAATATTGGTGAAATTTTTTGATGTCCAAAGCATTTGAGTGAACACAAACAGGCCCATGTATCAGCTCCATTTGGCTTACTTAAATTTAGAGGTCATATTGAAATGTTGTAGTACACCCAAGATTTTGCAAAATGGAAATGTCATTTTTGGTCTGTTTATTCACATACCAAAATGTCAAAACATTGGTGTGCTATTAAGGTGAGGCTTGGAAATACAGGAACATCTGCTACTACACTTATGTTGGATCTTGCAGTCAAACTTTTCAAAAGAGAGCCTTATTATAATTTCATTCAGCTACAAATACAAGCATTGAATTTATAATTGTTGTATACTGTATATTAATCCTCATTATCTCATCATTTCATTATTTGATCATAAAATTAATAAAATTGGTCTAAATTAAAGACTTGAATAGGTTGAAAGAGTGTAAAAAATCACGTAGTTTATCAAAAATAATATCAAGATGTTAAAAAGGACATTCAAGTCATTTCATACTTTGGAAGCTTTAATCCATTTTCAAATTCACTATAACAAGGTAATTGTTCTTGAAATTCAATAAATCTAGAATTATCAACAATATGTTCAACATCATATGAATTCAATATTGACCTAAGTGGTTTTAATTTGAGCTGATTGTGATACTTTAAAACATCTTTAATGTCATCGTCAACATTCTTGACGATTGTGAACAGGGAAAGTTCATCATTACCTAATGTTGTAGATGTAACATTGAACTCTTTTGGTGGATTTTTCAATAAATATTTCAAAATTGTTTCAAGCTCCACATCTTTTGGAATTGATACTTTGCTTATTTTCAACCTTATAGGATTGATTGATTGATCATTTTGAATTGAGTCCAAAAGTGATTCCAATTCTTTTAATAAATCTGAATCCAAGGGTCTTAAAATGATTAATACACCAGAACTTGATTTCGAATGGATGTTGACTTGACAAATCTTCATTTGTTGTTGATCATGGACTTTAAAACCATCATTATGGTCACCAATGGTTGTTGAATCTGTTATATCTTGGTCATCATGATAGATATCTGAGCACAAGTATGGGAAGAATTGATTGTTTTCACCTTTGTGAAACGAGAACTGGACCTTAGCACTGCTGTTGTTGTTATTGAGTGGATGTAATATCTTTGAGAGTCTCCTAAACATGTAATATTCGATGGCTGTCCAGCTGGAATAGTACCCAACTCTCTCGTTAATACTGGGCTTCCTCATCTCTTTATATGCTCATCGGATCGGTGTTCGGACCGGTCTGATCATAACTTCAACGTCATAATTTCTTAGCATTTGAAGCTACAATTTCATTACAAAATTGAATAAATTGCAATTGAAACGGCTGTACATCGGCAGAGAATGCACCGAGTGTATCTTGGTACAACGGTTGTCAGAATCTTGACAGTTGTGTTTGGGACCCTTCTTGATTCATAATTTCCCATGTACTATTTTTGAACTAGTTTCTGACTTTTGAATATGTTCAAAATTAATTGCTCTTGACTTTTTTCTCTCTAATTCTTGGTAGTCAAAAGACCTCGTGATGTGTATCTGAAGGTGGATATTCAACCAAATCACAGTGTACACCCACTAATTACTTGCAACTCTGGTACATTGTTTTATGTGACTCTTGGACAAAGTTCTGGTCACTGAAAAGACCTTCATCAGTTTGTCCAAGACTCATGATCAAGGCTCTCAATGTATCTCAACTCAATAACTAAATCTAGATCTACCGGCTTCAAAAATGTTTAGAGACCCTTTTTCTCCTCCAAGATCCGTAATTGATAACTTCACTTAAAACCATGGGAATTACAATGAGCACCAAAACTTCTACACTACACGTGGAACAATACCTTTACATGCTTTCCACCAACCAATTGATACAATAAACGTGTAAATTGGTCATCAATCTAACGTATTTTCATTTGCATCTCATCATTCATTTTCATTTTCATTTTCATTGTATTGTCTCGTTTTTTGTGACACTTTAAACTTTAAACTTCGCCCTTCCTTCAAAAGCGTGATCAGGGAGATAACGAACAAAAAACGTTGCACACTGTAAACAAGATCGGTTTGATTCAGCCGTTGGTAGACTCATGACGTATCTTACAAATCAAGATCAATAGTCATCTACAATTGAATTGCAATATGAAATATTATAGATTTTATGACGACTCTTCTTATCTTGTGCGAATAATACCAGCAGCAATTAAAACTTGAACTTTTTTGTAAACTTCTGGATTCTTCATATGTTCTTGTAAGGCAGCTGGATTATCTTTAGCTTGACCCAAAATACTATTCATAACAGGATCTTGTAAAATTGCTGCAACTTCTGGATCTCTTGATGCTCTTTCATAAGCTTGTTCTGGAGTTTCATTAGCTGAAGGTTGGAATCTTTGAGAATATGCCTTGGAATATAATTGATCAATTTCTCTAGCATTTGCACCTTTAGTAACTTCTGCATCTTTTGATCTTGCTGAATCCAAAGTTTCAATTGCCTTGGAAAATTCTTTTAATGCAATTTCTGCACTAGCTTTACGAATATAAGCTCTAATAAAAGTTGGATCAATCTTAACAGCTTGTTCAGCATCTTTAACAGCTTCTGGGAATGACATTAATTTTGCTAATGCAGCAGCTCTATTTGAATAACCTCTAGCATCTTCTGGGGCACGTTTAATCATTTCAGAATATGCCTTAACAGCATTTGGCCAATCACCTTTTGTGAAATATTCTTTACCTTCTAATCTTGCTTCTTCAGCCTTTTCAGGATTAACATATGCTTTTGCCTCTTGTTCTTTTAATAATTTTTGTGTACTTCTTAATTTTGATAAAACTTCTGGTGTACGATGTTCTGTTAATGATTTTTCAAAAAATTGAATAGCTGATTGATAATCAGATTGTTTTAAATATGTTGTACCTATTCTGGCAAATGATTTAGCAATTATTTTATAATCAGCTCTTTGTTCACGACCTTTGGCAATAGCTTCTTCACATGTTTCAATAGTTTGTTTATAATCACCTTTTTCAAATTCTGCAGCTGCTCTATTGTTTAAATATGTAACATCTGGATATATTTCAAAAGCTTCATTATATTTGGCAATTGCTTCATCAAACTTTCTTGATTTATATAATTTATTACCTTCAGCTTTTGCAGCATCAGCTTTAGTTTTAGAATCATCTTCTGGAGCATCTTCAACTTTAACATCACCATCTTTATCTTTAACATCTTCTTTTGGAGTTGGTTTTGGAGTTTCTTTTGGTAATTCTTCCTTCTTTGGTTCTGATGAGGATGAAGCAGAAGAAGCAGCATTAGCTTGAGCACCAACTGGTGAATCATCATTTAAATCAACACCCAATAAAGTAGCCAAAATATTCATTAATCTTGGATCAGACATCATTTCTTGAGCACCAGCTTGTGGATTGGTTTTCATTCTAATAACTTTATCAACTAAACTTGGATCTTTCATTAATTCTGCAGTTTTTGGGTTTTTCTTTAAATTTTCAATTAAATTTGGATCATTAAATATTTTACCTAAACCTAAATCCGAAGGTGGTGCACTTGAAGCTAATTTAGCGTTTTGAACAGATTTTAAACCATCTTGAGCTTGTTTATTTGATGAATCTAATTCAAGAGCTTTTTCATAAGATTTTTCAGCATCATCTAATTTACCTAACCCAAATTCAGCAGCTGCAACTCTACTATAACCTTTTGCCCATGTTGGATTGATTTCAATTGTCTTTTGTGCATCTTGGAAGGCCTTATCGAATTGTTTCAAAGAGGCAAATGAAGCTGAACGGTTTGAGTACAAGACATGATTAGTTGGAGCAGCTTCGATGGCTTTTGAGAAATACTCAATTGCCTTTTCGAAATCTTTGGCGGCAAACGCAGCGTTACCTTGAGCTTTCAGTTCATCAGCAGACATTTTCTAATTTGTTTGATCTTTGATTGTTTGGAATTGAATTGAAGTTAACTAAATTTTGGTGATTTCGATGTCGTTATATTTTCAACAAAATGGAGCCTTCTAGAAGTTTGATTACGGGCGATTTACCCGGATGTAATCTGGAAATTGAAGGCCGTTTGGCTGATTATTGGGAAGGATAGTGGGAATAGTGATGAGATAATAAAATTTATGGATTTATTAGCGAAATTAGGATATTGAAATGTCTTTTTTTATTCTTTTAACTCAACTTTAAGGTGGTTTAAATACTGTTTTGTTGTTTATTAAGGTTAGTGAGATGAACTTCATTTTGGCTAACGACATAAGAAATTAAGCTATAAATACACAAAAAAATAGAATAATAATATAAAAAACCCATAAAATCATAATAATTCACTCAAAACAACCCCTTAACTAACAAAAAACCCCTATAAATCCCATTTCAAATCCATTTTTGGGCTCATCTGGTTATCGCACACTTTTTTTTTTTTTTTTTTTTTTTTTGGTGTTTACTAATTTTAAAAAAAATTGTCTACTTTTGTCT